AATTACCAAAATGTCCTCTAGGGGAAAAAAGTTTCCAAAGCTTCTGAGGCAAAATGTCTTACAGTCAATTCCCCTAGAGTTCCCCAACAGTCATTTGTAACAATTTCCTGCAATTTCGGAGTTTAACAAGTCAGTAATTTTGTAACTCTCCTGAGCCAAGTGACTTAAAACAATGTAACGTTGCAAGCAAAGTATCAGCTCACTGACAGTTCTCACTCTCCGGCTTTCTCACTTAGGCAGTCCGTTTCAGAGGTTTTTGACACAGCGGTAAAAGTTTTTTAAAGTCTTTTTCCGGCAGGTTCCAATCACAAATTTCACCCCCTTTCGCTCCTGCCCGCAAAAGGGGGGGACGTTTCACTATTAATGTTTAGTTCCCTTAGTTCTTTACGCTTCCTCAAAGGTTGCAGCTTTTTAACCTTCTTTGCTGTATACTTTTGCAGTCCGGGAAGGGCTGACTTCCTTGCTTTAAGCCAATCCCGTTTTCAGCCAAAACTTTAAGTATTTGTAAATCCAAATCGTTTTACAGTCCTACTCACAGGTTTTAGTTGTAATCCAAATTTTCAGGAAGGAATCGGTGCTCTCCGGCTATGGCGATGCGGCTTCGCTTCACGGGCTGGGTGACGACTCTCAGCACCGTGCTTTACCCCTGCTGCCGTTCCGGAGCCTTTAAAAAGGCTCTTTCTCGATTTCGGGGGGGCGCAATGGTGCCCACCGAGTCTCCTTGTTTACAGGCTTCCGCGCCTGTAATTTAAAAGGGTCCCCGCTTCGCCGTAGCGGCAGGACCCGAACTCGCAAAGCAGACCCCCTCTGGAGCTCAGAGGGAGATCCGCCATTAGCCGATGGCGCCGACCGGAAGTCTACCTTTACCTTTTATCACTGGAAATTATGCCAACTCTCAACTACAGATGGAGAATTGCACCCATTCAGCATTCTTAAGCAATCTGAGCTGATTCGTGTTTAGAATGGATTTTGCAATGGATTTTATAAAGAATGAACCAAATGCATTTTGAAGGGTGTATTTTAGGATAAAATACATTGAGAAATGTGTGCATTGAAAATCCCCCTCCCAATATTTAAATATATTCTGTGCTAGAATACAGAACTTGCCGTATTTTTCGCTCTATAAGATGCACCAGACCATAAGACGTACCTAGTTTTTGGAGGAGGAAAACAAGAAAAAAAATATTCTGAATCCCAGAAGCCAGAACAGCAAGAGGGATCTCTGCGCAGCAAAAGCAGTGATCCCTCTTGCTGTTCTGGCTTCTGGGATAGCTGCGCAGCCTGCATTTGCTCCATAAGACGCACACACATTTCCCCTTACTTTTTAGGAGGGAAAAAGTGAGTTTTATAGAGCAAAAAATACGGCAGATATGAATTTCTGTAGCCCCACCAGCCTGAGCCAGCATGGCTCCATTATCCAAGGGTGGTGAGAATTGTTGCCCAGCCAAACCTGGAAGGCCAGAGCTTCCTGCAGCTCTGCCCCATCCTCCTTGCCTTTATATGTTGTTGGCATCTGTCTGTCTCGAGAGACAATGGAGTGTACCTCCATGGGAGAAGTCAAACTGAAGTGACCTCCCCGGGGGTGCAAGGCTAGGCAGTGTATACGGAGGTCTTTGGGTGTCCAGATGAGAAGACCCCCATCTCAGCCTCACTGATGTGAAAAGCAGAGCAAGACATTTAGGAGCAGCCTGGCTGCAGGAATTGTTGAAAGCTGGTGTACAAGGTGCCCTCCAACTGTCTTAGGGACTCCACTCAGGATTTGTATAGGGTTTTCTCCCGAGCCTTTTCTTCTCCCAAAGATACCCCAAAAGGCAGTGGAGGTTTAGGGTCAGAGTTTTCCTTCTCCTAGATGGGCTCCATTCCCAGGTTGATGAGCCCCATCTGCCCTTGACTTCCTTCTACAGCGTGTACAGAAACCGCCTTCTTGACTACTGGACCCACTATTGGTCCTGTCTGCTCAATCCGCCGGAGCCTGTCTTTGCATGTTATAATAATAATTTATTATTTATACCCCGCCCATCTGGCTGGGCTTCCCCAGCCGCTCTGGGCGGCTTCACACAAAATATTAAAATACAGTAATGCATCAAACGTTAAAAGCTTCCCTAAACAGGGCTTTCTTCAGATGTCTTCTAAAAGTCTGGTAGTTGTTGCTCTCTTTGACATCTGGTGGGAGTGCGTTCCACAGGGCGGGTGCCACTACCAAGAAGGCCCTCTGCTTGGTTCCCTGTTATAACAAGTAAACATAGAGTGGTGGTTTGTGTTTGCATGCCTCATGTTGAGAGTGATGGCCAACATTGATTTTATTGATCTCGGGGCATCGAGTTTAACAGAACACAAGATCCCACCTTTCATTAAAGAGAGACAATGTCGAATGCTTTCAGGTGGAGAGGTGTTTCAGTCTTCTTTTTCTATCTTCTTGTTTTTAGACACTTTTAGCAGAAATCACCAGTTACCAGCAAATGGCACTCATCGCATCTTCCTTTGCCTTCAGCTGGAGCAAGTGGAACTTGCTGAGTGGAGAGGAAAATGTGGTCTTCAAGGTACGTATGGGCTGTGCTACTTTTGGTTTCGTTTTCAAGCTCCCTCCCTGCATTCTACAAACAGGAGCAGGAAGCTTTCATGTGCCTTGACCTCATCTCCTGTGCAGGTAGGTAGCCATTGGTGGTCAGGGGCAAGGCAGGCAGGGAAGACCACCTGGTAGAGGCATTTTGCCCTCTCAGAATCTGGACATAGACACCCAGTGCTGATGGTGAGTGTGCTATCATCGCTAGCCCTGCATCAGGGATCAGAATGGTGCCTGGCTTCCCCTTTGCACTCTGGGAAACACAGGGTTAAGCAAACCAAACTTGGGTCTCCAGCTGCTTTTGGACTACAATTCCCATCATCCCTGACCACTGGTCCTGCTCGCTAGGGATGATGGGAGTCCAAGAACAGCTGGAAACCCAAGTTTGGGAAACACTGGTTTAAACCATGGTTATATAGCATTACGTGTGGGATGTGGGTGGCGCTATGGTCTAAACCACAGAGCCTAGGGCTTGCCGATCAGAAGGTTGGCGGTTCGAATCCCCACGACAGGGTGAGCTCCCATTGCTCGGTCCCTGCTCTTGCCCACCTAGCAGTTCAAAAGCACGTCAAAGTGCAAGTAGATAAATAGGTACCACTCTGGCGGGAAGGTAGATGGCATTACCATGTGCTGCTCTGGTTCGCCAGAAGCGGCTTAGTCATGCTGGCCACTTGACTCGGAAGCTGTCTGCGGACAAACGCCAGCTCCCTCGGCCTATAGAGCGAGATGAGTGCGCAACTACAGAGTCGTCCGCGACTGGACCTAACGGTCAGGGGTACCTTTACCTTTATATAGCATTACATATCTGCATCAGTGCTGTAATTCACATTAACCAGGCACTTTCAGGTTGGTTACAAGAGCAAACCTGGTTAGCACTAATGAGGAAGATGCCAGGCTATATAAAATGCTTTGCGGGGAAATGATGGTTAAGGGGTTCACACGAGGAGGAAGCTTATCAGTCCATAGAAAGTGTTCGAAAGAGACATTTCAGGAAGTGGGGGGGGGGGGGGAGCAATTTGTACCAGTCCAGGTTCTCCTATGCAGCAATAGGGCAGGTGGGGTGGCGGTTTCCTAGCATAGCTTTCTGACAAGGAAGCCTGCAGAAATGCCTAGAACAGGCATAGGCAAACTCGGCCCTCTAGATGTTTTGGGACTACAGTTCCCATCATCCCTGACCACTGGTCCTGTGAGCTAGGGATCATGGGAGTTGTAGTCCCAAAACATCCGGAGGGCTGAGTTTGCCTATGCCTGGCCTAGAATGTAGGGATTAGGGGATGGCAGTGCTGACACCTAGCAGAGAGAGTGAGAGTGCAAAGCTTGTTTCAGCCTTCAGCAACTGAAACCTGACTTCTACACACCACCAGCTCAAGGGCTATCCCCTCCAGATGACTGCAGTCCCCAGCATCCCCAACCCTTGGCCATGCTGCTGGGGCCAATGGGAGCTGGAGTCCCACAGGTTAAAGGTAAAGGGACCCCTGACCATTAGGTCCAGTCGTGACTGACTCTGGGGTTGCGGCGCTTATCTCGCTTTATTGGCCGAGGGAGCTGGTGTACAGCTTCCGGGTCATGTGGCCAGCATGACTAAGCTGCTTCTGGCGAACCAGAGCAGCGCACGGAAATGGCGTTTACCTTCCCGCTGGAGTGGTACCTATTGATCTAATTGCACTTTGACGTGCTTTCGAACTGCTAGGTTGGCAGGAGCTGGGACTGAACAACGGGAGCTCACCCTGTCGCGGGGATTCGAACTGCCGATCTTCTGATCGGCAAGCCCTAGGCTCTGTGGTTTAACCTACAGCGCCACCCGCATCCCGTCCCACAGGTTAGCCCCTCTGAAAAAGGAAGATTTGGTGCCACCCTCCAGCCCCCCATTTATCTAAACAAACAGTACTACTTCCAAGCCCATCAGGTTATTGGCTGTAACAACTCCTGCCGGTCCTGTCGGTAGATCTGTGAACACCTTACAAAAGAGCCAGTATGGGATAAAGAATGGGCCCTCCTGATGTTCAACGGGCAGAGAGCTCAGAGGCTCCAGCTCACTGAGGAAAGTGACAACTTCTCAAAGAATATAGCAGAGGACACGGAATTCCACTCCACCCTTTACCACCTGATCAAGGACTTTGGCAGCGAAGAAGCAATGGAGAGAATTAGGCAGGCCCACCACCTATTCATTGACGTCGTGTACCAGCTGCTGCTTTCTACCAAGCTACTAACATACTCTTGAGAAGCCACGCACCGCTTAAGAACTTTATTGAGTCGAAGACACTCCTGTCAATAAAATAAGAGCTTGATGTTTGCGATAGGTTCAACATTTCAGATGCATTTTTTCCTCCAGAAAAAAAATAAATACCTTACTTTGTAAGCTGTTTGTGGACAAACTATATTCACTCCCAAGTGTTTCCTAAAACATGTTTCCTAAGAGCTTGCAGCTTCGGTACAATTTGGGGGAGGGAGGGAAAATTCAGAAGGTGCCAGAAAGCATCAAACTGTGTTTCGTTTTGAACTGAATTACCAGGAAATAACTTGCAAGGGCAGGGCCTCCAGAAACATCAAAATGCTGTATCTGTAAGCTGCATGGGGACCTTGGATGATGTTGAAAGTTCAGAGAGCTTGAAATATTATCTACCCCCTTTGCACCTGCCCATCGAAAACCACATGGCAGGACGGCTCCCCATCTTGATGTCCGAAAGGTATCTCATCTTGTACTCCCACCAGTGAATTATACGGGGGGTGGAGCTTGGTGCTGGAGGCGAGTATATGGCCACAGCAGCTGCTGCACGGATGTCCAAGCATCTCCTGTCCCGACAGGGGCTCCTTCTGCTGGCCTCTGGAAGGAGAAGCCCAGGAGGAAGGTGGAAAGAACAGCAAGGAGCACCACCGCAAAGATGGAGACGAAGAGAGTCTTGCTGGTCCTGCAGATGGCAGTCTGGAGAGAGGAGGCCCAGGAGAAGAACCTGCTATACCTGTAGGGAAGAAAAAGATGGTGGCTATTTGCAGACTAGTTGCACTGCAGAAGGCGTGCTGGGGAGACCACACATTACAAGGAACACAAAATAACTGTAAGGTAAAAGGTGACCCCTGACCATTAGGTCCAGTCGTGCCGACTCTGGGGTTGCGGTGCTCATCTCGCTTTATTGGCCGAGGGAGCCGGCGTACAGCTTCCGGGTCATGTGGCCAGCATGACTCAGCCACTTCTGGCGAACCAGAGCAGCACATGGAAACACCGTTTACCTTCCCACCGGAGCAGTACCTATTTATCTACTTGCACTTTGACGTGCTTTTGAACTGCTAGGTTGGTGGGAGCAGGGACCGAGCAACGGGAGCTCACCCCATTGCGGGGATTCGAACCACCGACCTTCTGATCGGCAAGTCCTAGGCTCTGTGGTTTAACCCACAGTGCCACCCACATCCCTAAAATAACTGTAGCTAGGTTTTAATAACAAAAACTCCTTTTACATTAGTTATAATATATCAATAAGCATGACCCACCCACCAACCCAACCACCAGGGAACAGAGAGAGCTAGGTGCTGCTCTTTATATACTATACCCAACAGCTTAATTAACACAACTTAACAGCGCCTGCTAGAAGAAGAAGAAGAAGAAGAGTTTGGATTTGATATCCCGCCTTTCACTCCCCTTCAGGAGTCTCAAAGCGGCTAACAATCTCCTTTCCCTTCCTCCCCCACAACAAACACTCTGTGAGGTGAGTGGGGCTGAGAGACTTCAAAGAAATGTGACTGGCCCAAGGTCACCCAGCAGCTGCATGTGGAGGAGCGGAGACGCGAACCCGGTTACCCAGATTACGTGACTACCGCTCTTAACCACTACACCACACTGGCTCTCTGCTATACTGCTTCACAGCTGTAAAACTAGGTCACGTTATTTGCTCTGGCCCTTAAATACACATCTTGTGGAACAATAATGAACCTTCAAATTTAAAGAGACCATTCAACAAAAGCATGTGGGGAGGAGACTTTTGGTGCTTTATGCTAGGACTCAATTGGCAACAGCATAGGCAATCAAGACTTGCAGCAACTTGTTGTGTCCCAGCACGTGCTAAAGTAAATCTGAAGATCTTCATTGGATTCATGGAGAACCATGCGGCGAGGACCTGCTGAAACGTGCTCCAATTTCCCTTTTTGGAATTTTGGTTTTAGGATGGTTGAGCCACCATCAGAAATGGGTTGGGCCACAAGGAGGACCAAAATGGGTAGGTAGGCAAGGAACAGGAGACAAAAGAAGGGGGGTGTCAGGATCTGTGTCTTAACATTACAGCCCCACAATTTAACAACGTAACGTTGTTAACCTCTCCAAGGATCTGTGTGGGCAATGGGAAATCTCTTCCGTGTCGATGGACATCAGAAACAAACGCTGGCCACACCATGTATACGTTCACCTTTAAATGTGAACTGAATTCCTCCCCCTCCCTGCTCAGAAGCTGCCTTTATTTGCTGCCACCGACTCCGACTCAGTCGCTTGAAACCCCCCAAATGCCAAGCATGCCCATCCCTCTGCCACTTACAGTGAGTGCAGCCCCCATTTCGATGAGCTGCTTTCCTTTTCGCTCAGCTTCCAAGCTTTGCTTCCTCGCGTCTCTGGAGCCGGCGGTTCCAAGGGAGTGTTTCTGTAAGGGAGAATTTCATGTAAGGGTGCCGTCGGCTGGCGAGCTTATGCATTGCTTTGACAAAAGGATTAGCCCCTCAAATGCTCCTCCCCTTTTCATTTCAACCGTATGAGGGGGAACTATACGGCCCAGGACCCTCGTATCTACGGGACCGCCTCTCCTGGTATGTCCCGCAGAGGACCTTACGGTCCTCAAACAAAAACACCTTGGAGGTCCCGGGCCACAGGGAGCTTAGGCTGGCCTCAACCAGAGCAAGGGCTTTTTCGGCTGTGGCTCCGATCTGGTGGAACGCTCTGTCACGAGACTAGGGCCCTGAGGGATTTGACATCTTTCCGCAGGGCCTGCAAGACAGAGCTGTTCCACCAGGCCTTTGGTCAGGGCACAGCCTGACCCCTGTCTTTGGTCATTCTTCACAGAACTCTAGCCCAATGGTTGCCATCAATTTGATTTGAACTGATTTTAAAATGAATTGATTTTAGAATGCTGTATTATTTTACTGTAGTTAGCCGCTCTTAGCCCGGCTTCAGCTGGGGAGGGCGGGATATAAATAATATTTTTATTTTTATTATTATTATTAACTAACTTATGTGCTTCAGGTTGCTACACAAGACTCCCAGAGGGCATAAGAGGGATTTGCCAAATGCAAAGTTTCTAGACCTCTGCAACATTTCCTTCCCAATGCTTTCCCTCCAGAATATTATCATCCTTACAGCTTTAATCCATCTCCCCAGCCAAACTGGCCCCCAAGGCAGCTCACGATATTAAACACAACCCAGTTCAACATTCAGTTAAGCTTTAATTGAAATTGTACAGCCAACTACAAATGCCAACAAGAGAAAACCTACAGCTTTGATATCATGGTCCGGATCAGGGGTCGCCACCTTGGTGACCACCAAATACTGTTGGACTAGAGTTCCCACCGTTTGTGACCATTGACTTAAGAGTTAAGAACCACTCCACTCAATAGGGTCAATTGCCGCATCCTGTTCTCACAGAGGCCTCTGGGAAGCCTGTAAGCAAGACTCAAGCCCAACAGCATTTTCCAACTTCGGAATTGTCACCCAAAGAGTACTATGTTGGCTACCCCTGGTCTAGACAGTATCCTAGACCACAAAAGCTTTGAATAATAATAAAAACAATAACTTTCATTATTTATACCCCGCCCATCTGGCTGGGTTTCCCCAGCCACTCTGGGCGGCTCCCAACAGAGGACTAAAAACAGAATAAAACTTCAAACATTAAAAACTTCAAACATTAAAAACTTGTTTTTTGTTTTAAAGTGAATATAAAGCAATGGACTAAAATATGCTGGCTTGGAAGGGAGCAAGATAAAAAAGGGGCCACTATAGAGAGGGACCTGGATCTCAGGTACTTGCAATCACCTTCTCTGGACATGTGTAACTTTTGGAAAGAGCTTTATGGGGAGATATTTCCATTGGATGTTCTCTTGATATAAGGAACTCGCAGAAACTTTCATCTCTCACACACAAATGTGCTGTATAGCTATAGCTTAAACCAAGGTTATCCAACTCTGAATGGACCAATCTGTCCATTTTCGTTTCTCTTTTTTAAGTTTCAGAACTCCACATCAGTTTGCAACAATTTTTTTCCAAAGTCCTCACGAAAACTCATCGGTGAATTTCTTCTAATAGACACAACTTTGCATTTAATTTCGCTTATTAGACGCTGCAAACCAATTCCCCCCTAATGCAGTGCATTTTGTATGTTATCTTCACTAACATAGGCATTTCTACGCACGCTTTTCCCATATAGATTTTCGTGCCCGTTACACGGCCGGGAAACTGCATTGCACAATTTGGAGAAGTGCAAATTTCGAATTAGGCAGGTTTGCCTTTAAATGTGAAGTGAATCAAATTTCTCCTCCCCTAAACCTAACAGTGACTTCCAGATGTTCTGGACTACAACTCCCAGATTCACAGGTGCTTTCCAGGTAGGGAGTTAGGAGGAAAACAATTTACCACCATTCATCAGAAAGCAATACCCTGGCAGGGGGGAGGGGACATATAAGGTGCAGCTTTGACATTGGCTTCTGGGGCCAGACAATGTGCAAGAAGCATAGAGACTTACTTGGGCTCACTGTGCTCTTCCTGCGACTCAGCCCAGGAAGGTGAACTTACGTATCTCTGCAATAAAGGACGCTTCTCGCTTTGCTTTGTTCCCATTAAGCCCCTGTTGGAAGAAGAGATTGGACCTGCTTGCTTTGCCCTTGTAAAGCAGATACTGCCAGATTTACGCATAAGCTAAACAAGCTATAGGTTAGGGCCCCACTCTCTTGGGGGCCCCCAAAAAATTTAAAGGAAAAACAAACCTGGCTGTACATTTCAAAAATATAAGATAAAACCCACATACAGCAGCAGTGTTTTGTTTTGTGTTGGGTAGGCTCCTATGATGTAAGTAATGGGCCCCGCCTGCTAGCCTGCTCCCTAAAATATCACTGGTTTGCTCATTTCTATATACAGTGGTACCTTGGTTCTCAAACTTAATCCGTTCCGGAAGTCCGTTCCAAAACCAAGGCAGGCTTTCCCATAGAAAGCAATGCAAAATGGATTAATCCGTTCCAGACTTTTAAAAACAACCCCTAAAACAGCAATTTAACATGAATTTTACTATCTAACAAGAACATTGATCCATAAAATGAAAGCAATAATCATATTAAAAAATCTTTAAGTTAGAGCTTAATAATTATTTCACTATTACTATACCTCTTCTTTATTGTATTTCACTATTAATATACTTCTTAACTGTATTTCAAACAATTACTTTGATAAAATACATATTTTGTTATGTGCAAATAGATACCTACTAGGTCCATAAATGACCATATAGCATATATTCAACACAAAAAACAGCGGCAATTTGTTGTTGACAAAGGACAGCTGGACATAGAAAGGGCCCCATTGCCTTCAGTAGCTTAGGGCCTCATCAAACCTAAATCCGGCCCTGGGAGCAGATCATTGCCATATATGCAGAATACCTTCGGCAGCGGCAAAAGGAAGGTCCAGACACCTCCCCAATGCAGAACATTATGGATTTATCACACAAAAGCTAAACTACGTGTTGTGGGGCAGTTAGTCACAGGTAAGGTTGGACAAATCAATCAAGCTTCTCTCTCTCTTCTCTCATCTTTCTGCAACAATTTGTGTGTTTTTTTATTTTTAAAAAATCGACAAAAATTCACAAGCATTTTAGCATTATTTTCTCCTACAACATACAATTTTGTATCTGGGTTTGACTAATATGCACCAGCCATTTCGGTATGTTATTTTTTTACAAATGTATGGGTTTGTACGCACATTTCCCTCAAACTGTTCTTCCAAAGAAGTTCGCCTGGCACCGTTATTATATATCTTTAGATGCCAGGCAAAAACATGCCCCTTTTTACCCAGGCCTATGACTATTAAATAATCTATGGCCTGCAAGAATGTAGCTATTATGATTATTTTATGATTAGGCTGTCTGTCAGTATACTTTTTACTACGCTTTTATCACTGGTGTTCCGTAATGTGCTTTTAATGCCGCACACTGCCCTGGGATCTTTTGATAAAGGGCGGTATGTAAATTGAACAAATAATGCTAAATAATAATAATCGTTTTCTTAGCACAGAAGAGAGAGGAGCAAATTGTGCTTCTTCCTGACGTTCCAAATCATTGTATTCGAACCTGCTCAAAAAGTCAGTAAGAAGAAATCTTAATAGGTGGTATCCACGTTCAGATACATTTCACTAGGCTAGTGTCCCAGAAGCATGTTTCACAATATAGCTCCTGCCTGTACTGGGAACTGAAGTACTGTATTTTCTGGCGTATAGGACTACTTTTTAACCCAGGAAAGTCTTCTCAAAAGTCGGGGGTCGTCTTATACGCCGGCTACAGCAGCAGCTCCTGCAGCAACTCCCCACCAAAGGACAAAACAACAGCAAATTAAATCAGAGGACACCAAGCTCTCTAAATGAAGCAGAAATATGCTTGAAAATTGGCCCCAGAAGGCCCCCCCAATCACCAGCAACAGAACGACCCTAACCGTTCCCGGTAGTAGACCACTAGCAAATTCCACGAGAGCGGCTCAACAAAAGCAGTAAAAAATCCCCCAAAATGCTTCAGCAGGTCCGACAAAAGCAATAATCAAGCAAAGTTCAGCGACGTCCTAGCGATTGAGGAAGCGAGCCAAAGAGGAAGCCCTCTGGCTCACTCCTCCATTTAAATGGACCCGGCCAGGCCCCCCCCGCCCGGGCCACCTGGAAGTGGAGCAGATTTCCGAGCCGGACTGGAGACTGGTTTTTAAAAAAATTATTTGGTGTGCGTTGGAAGAGGGGTCGTCATATACGACGTGTATATCCCAAACTCTGTATTTTAACTGGAAAAGTTGGGGGTCGTCATACACCTAGTCGTCTTATACGCCGGAAAATACGGTACTTGAATTCCAAACATTTTAAAGGTATTAGTGAACACACACAGTGCATATCCATCTCTTTCAACCTCACAAACTCCTTTCTTACCAACTAGGGCGCCTGTTGAATTTGTCACTTTTGTCACTTCCATCTGTTTCATTTAACTGGGCCTTTGGAGAAAAAAGGAGAGGAGAGTTCAGCATGTATTTATGTGATACATCAATGGCAATAAACTATCGGTACTGGAAAATGCCTACATACCAGCGGCAAAACAGCATTTCCAGTATTCCTAGGCAAGGTTGCAATGCTAACTCGGCGTAGGGATGAAGGCTACATAAAATAAGAGACACTGCTTGTTGGGTTATGCCTTCGAGAGCTTACAAGCCCTGTGGTTTTCTATGCAAAAGTAACGCTCACATGAACCAAGTACAACTTAGCAATATATAAGAATAGATGCCATTGTTATTATTCTTATTTCAAGATGTCCTTCTGCAACTCTTCAGCGGTGTAAGAGTACCTGGTCTCACAAATGTGTACAAGTTAGTACAGACTGGTCCAATGCACGGACCTCCGAGTCCTTTTTGTGCGGCCCTTGGCAACATTTGACAGGCCCCCCCCTTGCCACAGCCCTCCCACTGGCTTCCCAAAGCTGGTTAAGCAAGGTGCTGGGCTTTGGAAAGGAGGTAATTGACAGGGTCCTAGAGCAGGCATAGGCAAACTCAGCCATCCAAATGTTTTGGGACTACAACTCCCATGATCCCTAGCTAACAGGACCAGTGGTCAGGGATGATGGGAATTGTAGTCCCAAAAACATCCAGAGGGCTGAGTTTGCCTATGCTTGTCCTAGAGTAATCCCGCCTCCTTCCCCAAACCTAGTTAATGCTTTCCAAGCTTCCTTCTCAAAGCCAAGCACATCACTTAGATGGCTTTGGGAAGGTAGTGCAAGAGTTGCAGGGTGTGTGTGTGTGTGTCAAATTTTGGCCCTGCTCCCCCTTCTCCTTCCCCGCGCAACATGGCAGTGCGCGGCCCACAGCTTCCATGCTGAAGCATTATTGCAGCCCACTTGCTATGAAAAATTGGGGCGCCCTAAGTTAGTAGATGCTTTTAATCTTTTGTTGGAAGCTGCCCAGAGTGACTAGGGAGGCCAGATGGGCGGGGTATAAATAATAAATCATTGTTGTTATTATTATTATTACTAATATTATTACTTTTCATTGAGCAAATATCTTTCCGCGGAAGTCCACTTGGGCCCCAAGCCGATATGGTGCTACAAGGAATGGATGATTCCACTGATGTTAGTTCTCATTTATTTTTTCAAATCTTCAGTTCTCTTCACATTTTCCATGTCAGCTTGCAATTTTGTTTTACAGCCTTTGCAAAAACCCACCAACCTTTTAGTGCACAATCTGCCCTCCTCATAGATTTTTCTCCTAAACGTACACATTTTTGAGATCAAGTGCCCCTAGCAAAACCCCTTTTTTTTGTACGCGTGTGGTTGGAGAACGGCATTGCAAAATTTGGAGGCGTGAGCGTGTCAAAGCACTGCTGCGTTTCAGTTCTCATATTTTTTCAGAAAAATGCAAATCGGGCATTTTCATGCAAACCAAACCGAGCGCCAGCCGCATCTGTAGATGCAAACCAAACCAAATTTCTTCCCTGTCCCTAGATGCTAATTGCATGTCAGCTCCCTTTTCTGAAATGAGTAGCGCTTGACCACAGACACATAATTTCACGTTCCCTGCCTCTCCCCTACAGAAGCCATTGATGTGGGTTGGAGATAGGGACATTCAGAGTGCCATGGTGTTATGACACACAGATAAAATATTACCAGGTTGCCTGTTGCAGCAGCACCAGATGTGCGGCTAATTGGGGCTTACCTTTGAGAGTGCAAGAAGAATAAAAACCAAGTGGCAAGGAGTAACAGTCATGTGAACAAAACTTCAAAAGGAAGAGCATGGCTGTGCAAACTAGTGCCAGTTGAAGAAGTGTCTCCTCCATCCAATTCCATTAAAAGGCTACTCAGCAAGGGCACCAAAATGTTGCCCGATTGTAAATTCCACTGCAATTGTCTTTTGGAATGCAGGGACTTCTTTGCTGTATTACATTTCAGGTCATTTAGAGGCATAAGCATACCATGAGAAAAGCCAAGCCTGAAATTCTGCAGTTCAGGCAGCCAACTGTTTTTTGAGATTTGTAATCGCAGGGATTTTCCAAGTTCCCAAAATTTCATTCAGAGGTGTTTTTTTTAAGGGCATCTCCCTCCTTGTGAGTTCCTTCAACTAGGGAATCGGATGGCAGAATATGGAGAAGCAGAACAGAAGGAAAGGCAAAGAATGAGCAAAGCGCAGCAGCAGGTCATGTTCAGAATCAGCTCCAATTTGAGCATTTATGTCTAATGTCCCTGCTAGGTTAACTTGAAAGTGTTAATATTAGTTTCTCATTTTCCCAGGCTAAGTTCAGTTCACACTGTTTTTGCATACATTTGTGGAGTAAATAAATTTAAAAAATCATGTGAATATCCATGTGCATTTTCATGCCTGTCTCTAACACAGCTCTTTTTATATCCAACTTTGTTTAACACAGGGGGTTGGACTCGATGGCCCTTGTGGTCTCTTCCAACTCTATGATTCTATGATTCTACATGCATTTTTGCAAGCAGTTTTCCCTTAACAGAAGGCTTTCTTTGTGCAATTCTCACTAATGTTACACATTCTGCTATCTGCACTCTTTGGTTGGAGAACGACACAAAATTTTGAAGGAGGAAGTGACTTTCGAAGGAGGAAGTGCAAATTTGGTGAGTCCGCATCAAAATGTGAGCCAGACAAATTTCTCCCTCACCCCCCCTTGAAAGTACTTAAAGGTACTCATTAAACTTTCAACACAGGATGCACCGCCAATAAACTTGAAAAACTGTATTTTCAGGGTTGCAGCCACTGTTTGCACAACTCTTGACTTCCACTTGAACCATCAGCACTAGAAAAACAAACTCCTATCAGTAACTTGCATTTAACTCCAGACCAGCATGTTGTATTCTTCTACAGAAGCTAGTCTCATCAGAACCTATAGCCTACGGTTTGTTTCTGCAATGACTGATGCTGAACACATTCTACTCTGTATATATCACCTGGATCAGTTTCACATACAAACCAACTCCAATTATTTTGCTTCGGCCAGTGGTGGTAATGGAGCAAAGTTACCATGCAGAGTATTGATTCTCCCTCCCGCTTGAGGCGTAACCAGACATTGCCCACACTTTCAAAATATCACAGCCCTATGAGCTAGAATGTAACATTTTCTTTATAAAAAGCAAAAACATACACAGATTGTCAAAATGCCAAATTCTGCAAAGGATGAAAATTTGGTTGTTTGCGTCGAATAATTAAAAAAAGAAAGGAACCTAGTTCAAGAGACGTCACACACCCAAATTTGACTTCAGAGCCTTCTTTAAGGAAAACATGTCAGGGTTTGTTTTTTTTAAAATCACATCATTGGAGATTATTGATGATTGAGTCCAAGATTGCAGCAGGGCACAGCATAGGAAAGAGCAGGTTACAGTGGTACCTCGGGTTAAGTACTTAATTTGTTCCAGAGGTCTGTTCTTAACCTGAAACTGTTCTTAACTTGAAGCACCACTTTAGCTAATGGGGCCTCCCGCTGCCGCTGCGCCACCAGAGCCCGATTTCTGTTCTTATCCTGAAGCAAAGTTCTTAACCTGAAGCACTATTTCTGGGTTAGCGGAGTGTGTAACCTGAAGGGTATGTAACCCGAGGTACCACTGTATCAGGGGCAAAGGGTGCAGAGAACTAGAAGCTTAGAACCGCAGCAACATTTGTACCTTTAAGGAACCAGAGAGCTTTTTAATCGAAGATTCATCTGCAACAGCAATAAGAGTAGGGGGAGAAAATGAATCTATAGCACAGCTAAAGGTCTGCAGGGCTATCAAGGGCTACTAGCCATAATAACTATGCTCTGCCTTCACATTTGTTGGCCACTGTGAGAACAGGATGCTGGACTAGATGGGCCATTGACCTGACCTGGCAAGCTCTTCTGGTCATCATAAGCCCACACACAGCAGAGAAGGAGAAGAAGAGTTTGGATTTGATATCCCGCTTTATCACTACCTGAAGGAGTCTCAAAGCGGCTCACAATCTCCTTTCCCTTCCTTCCCCACAACAAACACTCTGTGAGGTGAGTGAGGTTGAGAGACTTCAGAGAAGTGTGACTGGCCCAAGGTCACCCAGCAGCTGCATGTGGAGGAGCGGGGAATCGAACCCGGTTCACCAGATTATGAGACTACTGCTCTTAACCACTACACCACACTGGCTCTCTAAAGAAGAGGAGTTTGGATCTGATATCCCGCTTTATCACTACCCTAAGGAATCTCAAAGCGGCTAACATTTACCTTTACCTTCCTCCTCCACAACAAACACTCTGTGAGGTGAGTGAGGCTGAGAGACTTCAGAGAAGTGTGACTGGCCCAAGGTCACCCAGCAGCTGCATGTGGAGGAGCAGGGAATCGAACCCGGTTCACCAGATTACGAGTCCACCGCTCTTAACCACTACACCACACAGGCCAGGGGTGGTTGGTGCCCAGTGTGACCAGTAGGCCAGAAGGCTGGGAGACTAACAGCAGGTGGTGCCAGAGGAAATGCCAGGCATGGCAACTGTGTCTCCGTCTTCTTCCCTGCTGAGTCCTACAAGGGACAGCACTGAGATAGATGAGGAGGAAGCTGAAAGGCAGTGGACTGCTTGTCAGTAAGGAGACAGGCAGGCAGATTGAAGGTCCATTCATCCTAATGGGCCAGCCGCCACTAGCTCAGGCATGCATGCATGCCGCCCTCCCCAGTAAGAGGGTCCAAGACACTCAGCGTGCATCAGATGCAGTCAGGGAAGCAAGGGAGCAAATGGTGGCAGCTAATGCAAGGCCAAGTCAGGACCTCGCCCGCTGTTACCTCGGTCCCCGAGAGAGCCGAAGGACTTTTCGTTCTGGAGCAGCACCTGCTTCAGCTCCTCCAGCTCCACGTGCTCCCTGGCGTACGTACGCTTCAAGTTCTCCACGTGATGAATCATCACTTCTACAGCTTTACTGGCCCGGCTCTCCTGAGAAACAGAAAGTTAGGGGGGCACGCGGAGACCAGCCGGAGAATTTCCAGAGCAGTCCTTGCGTTCAAACGCAGAACGAGCCACTGAGGCCGATGGGAAGTGACGCCCCAAAAACACATCTGGAAGGATGCCGGGCTAATTTGTTCCAGAGCTGAGCTCACCTAAAGCGTTGAGGGGAAAAGGAAGAGGACAACCTGGCGAGCCGCAGAATGGCTCCGGTAAACCCTGGACTATACAATCTGATCTGCACACAGTGGAAGGCAGTGATATGCTTCTATTAACTAAGAGAGTTGATTCTGCAGCCTAAGATACCATGGAGGGAGTCAAAACTAGTATCCTCCGTCTGTAGCGAAGATTTCTTAAAAAGAATATACTTGCAGATTAGAGCTTCTAGTTCAGCCTGCTTTCTGCTGTGCTAGCTTTCTACTTGAGCGGGGAGAGGGCAGGTGGGTGTGCTTTACATAGGTAAAGGTAAACGGACCCCTGACAATTAGGTCCAGTCGTGACCAACTCTGGGGTTGCGGCGCTCATCTCGCTTTATTGGCCGAGGGAGCCGGCGTACAGCTTCCGGGTCATGTGGCCAGCATGACTAAGCTGCTTCTGGCAAACCAGAGCAGTGCACGGAAACGCCGTTTACTTTCCCGCCTGGAGCGGTACCTATTTATCTACTTGCACTTTGACGGGCTTTCGAACTGCTAGGTTGGCAGGAGCAGGGACCGAACAACGGGAGCTCACCCCGTGGCGGGGATTCAAACCACCAACCTTCTGATCGACAAGTCCTAGGCTCTGTGGTTTAACCCACAGCGCCACCTGCGTCCCCGTGCTTTACATAGGAGTGTATTAAAAATGCAGGGAGATGTCGCCTATCAAGACCTCTCTGGACTGCTGTGATGCCAGCCAGGGTAGGTCACCGGAGACAAGCCCCGGGAGCCTGGAGAGCGGCCAGCCTCTCCTGAGGGGGCATGTTTTCCAACAATTCCCCCCTCCAACTGCAGTCTAGAGAGGTTCAGTCCATTCTCTTGCTTGATCCTGCTGCAACTGTAGACTAGGTTCAAACAGCTCTGTTCCAAGCTGCATTTGCACGGCGTTTTTCACATCAGAGGAGGTCTACACCCGAACGAAGCACACAATCTTTTTTACTTTCCCCTCCCCACACCAAGCACTCCTCTTCGTGAAGTTGTCATCTGCGCAGGTGTGACACCTGTCTCTAAAGCAGACTCTCTTCTGAAGTGCAAAGCGAATGCAGCTTAACTTTCCTCGTCAGATTGAAGCTGGTTTGAGAAAAAAATAAATGCATCCTAGCAGCAGTAGTATTTGTCAAGAAACCACAGGGTTGATATGGATTGTGGCTAATATGTGAATGCTGCTTCAAAAATTAGCAGTGGGAGCTCGCTGGGTGCGGAGCATGCAGTAATGTAAACATAACCATATAGTAAACATGATCAGACGGACAATTCCTGAGCAATATTGGTTTTGCCTACAGGATGGGACTGAAGCCTCACTGGGCCAGAGTGGATGGGTGGGTGAGTGAGGTGTTAAGGGGAATCCCATGCACAAGCAGGAGTCCTTATGCTAGCTTCAGGTTAGTTTAATCTGGCCCTTAGTGACCCTGCAAGTGTCCCTATTTTTCAGGGACAGCCCTGGATTTACTGAAGCCGTCCCAGCTTCTGATTTGATTCCGGAATGTCCCACTTTTCCAGAACCTATTTTTCTGGGGGGGGGGGAGCACTGGCGACAGCAAATGAGTAAACCGAAAGAGGATGGGACCTTTGCTCTCTGCTCAAGTCCACACAAGTTGTATGAAGTAGCACAATGCAAAATAAATCTCCCAAGTCGAGGTTCTACTCCAAATCCGTTTGTGGATTTTACTTAGAAATCAGGCATTCAACAAAGCTGTTCAGGATCAATGCATAGCTTTTCCTTCCCATGAGAACCACAGCAGTCTTCCTGGCATGAGACCCTCTGCTGCGGTGCCCCTCAAGTTCCTCTCCTGCTTCCTTGCCTCAAACGCCGCAACTCCAAAACTGATCTCCCAAATGGACCTTCCACTTCTTCGGTAACAACTGCCCTGCCCTGTCTAACCGTTCCTCCTCAGGTCTTCAAGCGTCTGCAGATATAGCAAGATCACACCATCCACCCAATAAAGGAATAGCCCAATTTTCAGCTTGCGCCTTCTAACAACAGGGTTGAGGGACCTGTGCCCCACCTCAGACATTGATGGACTCCAAATCCCATCAGCCCCAGCTAGCTTGGCCAATGAGGAGGGATGACAGGAGTTGGGAGTCCAGCAATCTCTGGAGGGACCCAAGTTACCCAACCCAGCTTTTAAAAGAAAGAGTCAACTTTTACATTTTCTGGAATGGACCACTTACTTGATGAATGGCCCCCAGCATTTCTGCCTTGCTGGCAAGCCTGGTGGCGTACTGGTTCAGCAGCTCCAAGCTCTTCTGAAGCTTTTTGACGATCTCCTGTGCCTGGTTATCTTCACTTAGAGAGGACAGGGACTGAACAGGAGCAGTGTTCAAAAGGAAAAAGAGGGCATGTAAACATTGCAGCCATTGTATAAATGAAGATTAAGCAGCAAGGTAGAATGGTCATAGCTCAGGGCATGCAGAAGGTCCCCGATTCAGGCAGGCTACTCACACACTGTTCAAATAGCCTTGGAGCAGAGAAACAATGGAGGGAAGTGTGTTGGTGTCTTCATAGGTACTAGCCAATCAGTACTTTACACTGGTTTTTAAAGCTTGCTCTAGGACAGGGGTCAGCAACCCGCAGCTCCGGAGCCGCATGTGGCTCTTTTACACCTTTGCCGCGGCTCCGGGGCAGATACTAGCGAGGGGAGGAGGCGCATTGTGCGCCTTGACACTCCCCACTGTGGTGGGCGCTGTACTGGCTGTGACGTCACGTGGGGGCGGTGCGTGCGTTAGTCATGCACCGCCCCGACGTCACCTTCCCGCCCGCCCGCTACATTGTAAGGGGCATGTACGCTGGTCACTGCATTGAAAGGGGGCATGTACGCTGGTCACTGTTTTGAAGGGGAATGAAGAACACACACACAAAAAAGGTAAGTTGTTAATTTAACGTTTATTTCTATGAGGAGGAGTAATTCTGAGGGGTCAAACAAAGAAATAATTAAAAAAAGTGACAAAAAAGTTATTTTTATAATGACGAGTTTTGCGGCTCCCTTTTTTTCCCCTTCGGAAACGGGTCCAAGTGGCTCTTTTTGTTTTAAAGGTTGCAGACCCCTGCTCTAGGAGGTGACAAAGCTGCAATGTGGACACTCTCAATTTACCCACCCCACTCTAAAGATGTTATGTCCATCCTCACCCTTTAAAGCAAAGAAGCTAAGGGAAACAACGAGCAACAGATACACATAGCTCATCCTTACATCAAGTAGTTTCAAGGCGCTGGCAATCTCCTTCCTCAGGTTTCCCTCTGCTAAATCCCGGGACCTTTCTTCCAGCCTGACTCTCTTCTCCAAAGTGAAGAGGTCACATTTGAATCCCAGAGACAGCCGAAGAAATTCTCCCTGGCAAAGGGGAAAGAAAGATACACACAACCCCAATGCAGGCAGTGACATAAAAATCAAGTTTCCTGGTCAAAAGGAATTGCCCATGAATAGCTACCAGCAAGGGGAAATGGAAAGCGTAATGCTGCTGGTCAACAAAAGAGATTCAAAGACTCTCTCAAGGCAAATCTTAAAAAATGTAGTATAAACACTGACAACTGGGAAATACTGGCCTGCGAGCGCTCCAGTTGGAGAACAGCCTTTACTTTACTTTACCAGAGGTGACATGGCTTTTGAAGATGCTCCAACACAGGGCAAAATGGAGAAACATGCTAAGAGGAAGGCATGCTTGGCAAACCCTCACCATGATCAACTCCTGCCCGGAAACCACTGTCCCCACTGTGGAAGGATGTGTGGATCCAGAATTGGCCTCCACAGTCACTTGTGGACTCATAGTTAAAACCGTGTTTATGGAAGACAATCTTAGTTGGCTACTAAGAAGAAGAAGAAGAAGAAGAAGAAGAAGAAGAAGAAGAAGAAGAAGAAGGGGACCAGTCCTTGCAGATGGAAAGCAAGCAGATAACTGCTTCTCTTTAAAAAGAGGTGAAACTGACCAGTAATGAAGGATAAACCTAAAAGTAGAGGCGTGCTGTTCACAAGATCAGAAACAACTGTGTGGAATTGGAAGAGCCTGTGCTGTGGACACACATTTTATGCTGACATTGAGATAATATAATAAACCAGCAACAAAAAGATCCAATGGACACAACATAGCAGGATGACAAAAACAATTCACTTGCAATTCTCAACAAATGCCAGATATCCAAACAGCTTTAAACCAGGGATGGAGAGAACTGGTGGCCCTCCTGATGTTGGATTGCAATTCCCAGCAGGACCAACCAGCAAGCGCAATGATTAAGGATGATGGGAACTGTAGTCCAAAATATACAGAATGCATCACGTTAGGGGAGGCTGATTCTGGGCATGGGAGAGAAGGCAGAAGAACAGCAAACATTTTGAAAGGCTTACCTCCACTTCCTTCTCACTGGGAGACACACTGAAACCAGAAGAGACAAATGATTACACTACCAGGCCATGTGGCTATAGGCAGTGCTATTTTTCTAGAATAAAAGGTGCCAGAACTCACCACAACACCTCCCTCGTTCTCTTAAGAATGGCAATGGCGCCCAGCTGATAGGTGCCAGAGTTGAGTTCTGGCAAGTTCCCTGGTTATAGGAGAGGTGATGGGGTCTGAAGGAGCGCACTTTCAATATTTTTTCTCAGATCTGTTCAGGGGGGGGGGGATCCTCTTCCAGTCCACTGCTGCCCTCTCTGAACTCCTCAGGGATTGTGAAACCAGCTTTAAATAAGGTGCCTTTGGCACCAGAAACAAGAAGTGTTTCAAGGAAACAGAGGAGTCTCCCCAAAACCGCCAATTTTGCTACCACTGATTTTGCCACCACTGGTAAATAGGGTTAGGACAGAGCATCAGAACATTAAAATAAAATATAGTAGTAGTGGGACGCGGGTGGCGCTGTGGGTTAAACCACAGAGCCTAGGGCTTGCTGATCAGAAGTTCGGTGGTTTGAATCCCCGCGACGGGGTGAGCTCCCATTTCTTGGTCCCAGCTCCTGCCAACCTAGCAGTTTGAAAGCACGTCAAAGTGCAAGTAGATAAATAGGTACCACTCTGGCGGGAAGGTAAACGGCGTTTCTGTGCACTGCTCTGGTTCACCAGAAGCGGCTTAGTCATGCTGGGCACATGACCCGGAAGCTGTACACCGGCTCCCTCGGCTAATAAAGCGAGATGAGCGCCACAACCCCAGAGTCATTTGCGACTGGACCTAATGGTCAGGGGTCCCTTTACCTTTACTATAGTAGTAGTAATAATTAATCATCATCATCATCTGCCCACCTGACTGTGTTGCCCCAGCCACTCTGGGTAACTCCCAACAAAATATTAAAAACAATAAAACATCAAACATTACAAAATTTCCCTATACAGGGTTGCCTTCAGAGATCTTCTGAAAGTCAAATAGTTGCTTTCCCCTTTGACATCTGATGGGAGCCTGCTGGATCAGGGCAATGGCCCATTCAGTCCAGCATCCTCTTCTCACAGTGGCCAACCAGATGGCTTGGGAAACCTGCACAGGTTTGTCGACTGGAACTGCAAAGGCCTCCTGTGCTCCTTTACTAGCTAAGATTCTTGACAAAATGGGATGGTGTCCATAGGACCTGAAACTCACTTGTCATTCTGCCTGGTTTTACACACAGCAACACTAGCCAGGTCCTCAGATGAAGAAGGATCTTCTGCTGAATTGTGTGGATGGAAGAAATAATAATTAAAGACAAAAATGAAACATGCAATCAGAGCAAATCATCTCATTCAACAGGGAAGCTCAAAGCAGGAGTGGGTGTTTATTTGTCCACTGGTATATTTTTCGGGTGGGACAACAGTGCTGCATAGATACCACCTTTGCACTGGCATGGGTCAAGATGAGTTCATCAAAATTTTACCTGAAGTGTGAAATGTAGCAAATCCTTTGTCTATGCACAAGTGACTCCCTGCCTTCTGCAAAAAGGGAAGCTTTGAGGCAAATGCGGGCATGTACAGGTGTGAACAGGTGCATTTAAAGGCTCTTTAAGATGCTGAGTTTACTCTGCAAATTTGACTAGCGTCACAAAAACACAAATCATTTTAGGCTTAGGAGAGCCTTGTATCCAAGTGTTGGCCTGGTAGCCACAGGAAAAGTGGAATGTCGTGCAGGCAAGTGAGCAGGCTGGTGGAGAAGGGTCCTGTCAATCTTCTATGCCTACCACAGAAACCAAGGGACTTGCTGGAGCAGAAGGGATGGAGTCCAATAATCCAAAGGTACCATACCAGTGCTCTTGGTGAAAGTCTCCCCATTAGCTCCTTCCTTTGCAGCAGTTTCTTCACCTGGCAGCAAAGTAACTTCACAGACTGTCTCCTCTACGGCGTGCAGTAGTGTAGAGTCCAAGTCTGCAATGGGTAGGGAGAATTGCAATGAAAAATAATGTCCAATATCTCACATCTCTCGGAATTCTAATGGTTTGCATCGGTTTCATAGCAGAGGAAAACACAAGTGGGATCATCATTAGAATGGTCCTGGTTGTGGGCAGGCTCCCAGCCCGGTTCCTCCTCCCACCCTGGCATGGGCGGAGTAACACTTTCATGCCAGGGTGGCATCACAATCACCCCAGACCTATTGGCCAATCATTTTTGAGTGGGGGGATTGTGAGGAGTTTAAAAGCAGCAGCGTGGCGTGGCTATGCACCCGCTTCACGCTGCCGAACACCTGCCCACCTGCTCTGTAATTTATGTGTTCTCTGGCCTTGCTTTGGACGTTGGTTGGTTGCCTGTCTTGGGAAAGGGGCCAGGTAGGAATTTTCCCATTTGGCAAATTGGCATGGGCCACTTGGTTTTTGCCTACCTCTTAGCAATTGTCACAACTTTGTAAGGTTTGGCGGATGGGCATTGGCTCATTGGATTGTGGGGGAGGGGGAGGTCAGCCATTGCCTGCCCCTCCATTGACCAAGCGTATTCCGTTAAAGGAAGCCAGGGCCTGGTTCCTGTCCGAAGTCCGCTTGAGGGGCTAGGGCCATGCTAGGCCTCTGGGAACACCGAGGAAAGCTACAGGTGGGTTCCCCCAATTTGGCTTCCTCTTGGGGTGGTTTACCCTTATTGACTTCCTGCAAACCAGGCAGGAGACCGGTATAGTCTATGCCAATGCCTAAGCCAATACCACTCATATTTCTGTAATTCAATAAAGTTGTGGCCTAAAATTTTGCCAATAACCTTAAACTAAATATTCTGTGTCCGTGTGAATTTATTTTAACAAGGGGCTGGTCTGGAGGCCTTGCTAGGCAACCTGCTGTTAAAGTAAAGGTAAAGGGACCCCTGACCATTAGGTCCAGTCGTGACCGACTCTAGGGTTGCGGTGCTCATCTCGCTTTACTGGCCGAGGGAGCCGGTGTACAGCTTCCGGGTCATGTGGCCAGCATGACTAAGCCGCTTCTGGAGAACCAGAGCAGTGCACGGAAACACCATTTACCTTCCCGCCGGAGCAGTACCTATTTATCTACTTGCACTTTGACGTGCTTTCGAACTGCTAGGTTGGCAGGAGCAGGGACCAAGCAACGGGAGCTCACCCTGTCGTGGGGATTCGAACTGCCGACCTTCTGATCGGCAAGTCCTAGGCTCTGTGGTTTAACCCACAGCGCCACCTGGTTAAGGGGATGCAATTCTGGAGAATCATTTCCTTCTAGTTACGGTGTCCAGTCTGCATCTGGATGTGGTTCTCCAAGATGTCAGGCAAAGGTCATTTCCAGCCCTGCTACCCAGGACCTTACAAAAACTCAACACACACAGGAATTTGTGCATGCAAGGCATGTGCCCCTGCCTCCAAGCTGTGGCGCAGCAGACCTCCTAACAGTGGTGCTGTTGGGCACAAGATTTCCAACTAAGACAGGCTGTCTGGATTTGCCCACAGATTAGAAAGCTTGAGAGGCTGCCAACTGAGCTCTCCAGGCTATAGATAAAGGGGCCCCTGGATGGTTAAGTCCAGTCAAAGGCAACTTTGGGGTTGTGGCACTCATTTTGCTTTCAGGCCAAGGGAGCCGGCGTTTGTCCACAGGCAGCTTTCCTGGTCATGTGGCCAGTATGACTATACCGCTACTGGTGCAATGGAACACCATGATGGAAGCCAGATCGCATGGAAACGCCGTTTACCTTCCCGCCAGAGTGGTACCTATTTATCTACTTGCACCGGTGTGCTTTTGAACTGCTAGGTTGGCAGGAGCTGGGACAGAGCAACGGGTGCTCACTCCTTTGCAGGGATTCGAACCGCCGACCTTCCAATCGGCAAGCCCATGAGGCTCAGTGGTTTAGACCACAGCTGTAGGAACAGGGAGCCTGTGGTCTTTCAGAGGTTGTTGGACTTTTGACTCCCACCGGCTCCAGTCAACATAGCCAGGGATGTTGGGCACTGGAGCCCGGCAATGTTTGGGTGGGCCACAGGTTCCTCATCTCCTCCATAGTATTTCCTTCCTGGAAGATGTGAAAATCTCAACCACCCACAAAAGTAATTCATACATTTGGCAATAGCAAGATCCAGGTTGTTGCTTACCATGTGTTCCAGTAGTGCATTCTGAAGTGGAGGAAGAAATCGCCTGGGGTGGACTTTGTTCGCTGCTAAAAGAACAAGGGCCCAATTTGAGTGCATGGTTCAACATCAGAATGGAAGTGGACTATGAAATGCATGCACGCATTCTCACCTAGATGGGGCATCTGTCAATGGTCCAGCATCGCTCTCCTGGGATGGGTGGGGAGAGATAAAGAGATGAAAACTGTTAGGAGCTCATCCTATAGGACTCTGGCAGAGACATATGCCCGACTGGCATGTTCTCTCCCTCCTGCTCTTTCGTTCGGGAGCTTCAAAAGCTTTCTTCTGCCCAAACATCACAGCGACTGATGCCAACAGACACTGGCACACTTAGGGATCCACAGAGTTTGCGCAGCTTTTCGTGACAGACCTCAGCAACTCAGCATTTTGGCTAATCTACTTTATTTACATATAAACACACACGGAGCACTGCAACATGGCTCCCTCTCTCTCTAGCATTACACAGCAAAGAGAAAAAACAAAGGACAATAGTTCCACTTCACGGAACGCAGTAACACAAATATCCTGTCTCCATCACTTCCCACTCTGTGGAGTCAAAACATACACCGTCATGTGAAAGACAACAATCCCATGACTGCAATCATGGAGCAGGAATTCTAACATATATATGTTTAGCATATATACTCAAAGCAGGAAGAGGACACTCCCCAGCCATTAACACCACGCTGCCTGGATCAAATCCCAGAAGCATTTCAAACAAGAAGGCAGGCTGGTTGAGTATTAGAGAGAGATGTCTAGCTGGATAAGCGTATGGACATGCAAATCTTTAGCTATTACACGATCTGGATTTGCATTCTCTTTGCTTTGGCGGAAAGCATGCTAGTTTGTTCCCAGCCACTGCAGCAGCAGCTGTTTCCTACAGCTGCAAGAAAAGGCTACAAAAATAAACCACAGACCTTTTCAGCTCACCATCCAGTTACCTCAAGTAACCATGAGAGCCCCAGGAAAGCCATTAAAGGCAGACAAACATGAAGACACTCAGCGTTTCCCTTCTAAACTTGACGGGTTGTGTTTGGCATTTTAAAAATCCAATCCCAGACCTTCACTATTTATTTTGGATGTGCTTATGGGCTCCTCCCCTTCGATATAGGGGGCAGTTCCCCCACTGGCCCCAGCTAGACTGAGTCGTAAATTCATACAAGGTTCAGGGCCAAGAAAAATCAAGAGGCCACTTATTATTTAGTTTGATAGCGTTTGTATAACTTTGGGCTCATCCAGACTCCCACTTGTTCCACTGTTTCCCTCAGGAAAACCCACTCTTTCTTCCCATTTATGTTTTATTAAGTTTCAACATTTTTAACACATGCAAACAAAACCCAATTTCGCCTTTTCTCTCATTTTTATCGTTTCCCATGCAGTTGTTTCTCCTCTCCTGCCGCACCTTACCTTCTATCTGTTACTTCATAACCACAACATTATAATCTAATTACTTCTGCTGCTCATAGCTCAGATGTTGCTCATAGCCCTTCATCGGAGGATCACAGGTCTGGTTTGCAAGTTTAACCCCTGCGGAGCTACGATTCCTAGCACCCTGATTAAACTACAGTTCCCAGGACTATTTGGAGGGTGGATGCGCTTTAAATGTATTGTGCATACAAAACCTTAAAGTGGTTAGCATTTTTAATCCTCACCCCTTTGAAAAAAAGCACATTGCGTTACGCTTAATGTGGATCTGGTATTTCCTTAGCTCATGCCCTGAATGAAAGTTAAGCACATCTTTCAACAGTGCATTGTCTTGCAGAACTGTTCCCAGAAGAACCAGGATACAGGTATTTCAGAGAGTTTAATACGAACCCACAAAGCTTCTCCACCATGGGGGGTGGGGAATAAACCTGGTGTGGAGCCATTCTGCCACAGCAGCACCCCTCAACTCTCTCCCCACATGACAAATTGTAGCCCCCCAGAGCACCATCACCCGCTGGGTTTAAACTATCCGGTTTTCTCCCAGAGAAACTGTGCTGTCACTCAAAACTGATGGAAAACTTGATGGAAGACTAACCTTGGTAGAGTCTGCATCCATCCTTCTCGCTAAGGCAAGCTCTGCATCGCTCTGGTTACCAACAGACTGGGCATCGCACCTGACGGCAGAAAGCTTCATTTGCATGAGGCAGCCAAAGCATTGCGCTTCACCGTCGTTACCCCTCAAGCAAGCTGCACAGGGGATATTTTTATCTACAGCATTTACATAGGTGAACTGGCCCACTGGCTGTGATGCAGAAAGAGTGTTGAGGAAGTGGCTGTAGGCCAGAGCGGAAAACAAGCCAGACTTAGGCAGACATCTACTTGTTCCAGGTGTCATAGCCAGTGGTATAGTTCAGGTAGAATCACAGAATTGTAGAGTTGGAAGGGACCACAAGGGTGATCTAGTCCAACCCCCTGCAATGCAGGAATCGTTTGCCCAACGCTGGGCTCGAACCCAGAACCCTGAGATTAAGAGTTGAATGCTCTACCAATTGAGCTCTCGGTAATTTAAGACTCTGGATTTAATGGCCTTAATGGTCCCCCCCCCACATCGTTATATGGCAATGTGAATTATTATTTCACTAGCTTACAAATGTGGTAGGGTGGCTGGTGCCCATTGGGATGGGGGGGGAGGCAGGGATAATAACAACTGGATGGATCCAGAGCAAATGACAGGTAGGTAAAGGTAAAGGGACCCCTGACCATTAGGTCCAGTCGTGGCCAACTCTGGGGTTGCAGCGCTCATCTCGCTTTATTGGCCGAGGGAGCCGGCGTACAGCTTCCGGGTCACGTGACCAGCATGACTAAGCCGCTTCTGGCGAAACCAGAGCAGCGCATGGAAATGCCGTTTACCTTCCCGCCGGAGTGGTACCTATTTATCTACTGGCACTTTGACGTGCTTTCGAACTGCCAGGTTGGCAGGAGCAGGGACCGAGCAACAGGTCGGTCACCCCGTCACAGGGATTCAAACCACCGACCTTTTGATCGGCAAATCCTAGGCTCTGTGGTTTAACCCACAGCGCCACCCGCGTCCCATAAATGAGAGGTAGGGTCAACTAAATCTAGGTTTGTCTCCATCCTTCTCCTCTTGCTGAGTTCTGCAACTGCAACACTGAGACTTAGGGAGGAGGAAGACGAGAGGCCATGCCAGTCCCTGGACTGGTCCCCCAAAAAGCGGGCAGGTTGGGACAGGCTGATGGCAGACTGAAGTTTTTGGACCCCCCCTCCAATGCCATCTCTGCTCATTATACTTGGTGAACCTTTTGGCTTCTCAAGCCTTGCCCTGGCCAATGGCAAGAGTGAGACATTGGAGGCACTTCCGTCCAAGATGGCAGCTTCATTCAGAGAAGAAGTGCCCATGGAGCCTATATTTTTAAAACTTGGCCACTGGTCTTACTTGTGCCCCTCCAGATTCACATCGAAGATGGAGCCATTTCTCAGATGTTTCTGTCCAGAAGTAGACAGGGTTCTCGTATTTTCAAAGGCCCTGGTCACAGAGCTCCTCTGGATCAGCTGTAGAGGGTCAAGGGCCAACGCATCTGTCAAAAGCATACATAGAACCATAAAAGGGCTTCGAGGTTGTATAATCCAATTTGTTGCTTCGTGCAGGAGACTTGCAACAGCTTCTCTAACAAGATGACCATCCCAGCCTCTGATTGACAACCTCCACCAATGAAGAGCTCACCACCTCCTGAGTAGATTTAAAGGACATGGCTTTCCGCAAAGGAATCCTGGGAACTGTAGTGTATCCCTCCCCCCCCAGAGCTATGAATCATAGCATCCTTAACAACCTACAGTTTCTAAGGTTCCATCGGTGAGGCCATATGCGACAACATGGGTGTCAATTGTGCCTGAAATGTATGGGGTGAGCCACAAGTCGTAACCTTGCTTTCCCAGAATCCCACAGAACAAGCCTAACTAACTGGCAATTTTCAGAGGCCTCTCAAAACACGTGGGGCTGAACTAGCTAGCTGGCCATGAGAATTTCACTGAAGGCTAGACTACATATTGGGGTGTGGGTGGGTGGGGATTTTCAGCCAGAAAACTGTGTGGGCCCCCCAATCTGGACTGGAGACACATTCCAAAACAGGGTCCTAAATGTACCCTATTTCATCAACACAGGTCTGGGTGGTGCATGCTTTGTTTCATTTTGTTTTGAAGGGGGAGTGGGACATGTTTATCCTAAAGCCACATCCGAGCTAAGGAGGAGGTGGGGTTGCGGGCTCACGCCCCTCCCCACGCTTGCGGGGGCTGGCTGCAGCCCCTGCGATACCAGGGAATCCTTGGACGCGTCATTCTTGGGCCAGCCAATCGGCTGGGCCGGGGGGCATGGCCTCGCTGCATTTAGGTCTGGCACAGCTGAGGGTCTCCCTCTTTCCCACGCCGCAGCCAGCCAGGTTTTCCCCCTTTCCTCCCACCCATTAGGTTAGGCTTTCTGACGTTGCTATGGACTTCGGTTGGTCGCCGTCAAGGGGCCTGGTAGGAATTTTTCCATTTGGCAGATTGGCTCCAGCCACTTGGTTTTCGCCTACCTCGTAGCAATCCGTCACAACTCCTCGGTATTGGCGGTTAGGCATTGGTAGGGGTATTGTTCTATTGTTATGCAGATGAGGGGGGGGAGGAAGCGCCATCACCTTCCCCCAATCATAAGGGTAGCCCGGTAAACGATTCCAGGTGGCGTGGCCTTGTCCTAAGCCTATGGAAGTGTGGGCCCATGGCATGCCCCCAAGCGGTAACTTCGGGGGGAGCTCCTAGTTGACTTGCCTCAGCAGGACTCCCCCTACTGGTGGTTAACCCTTACCGGTCTTCAAGCAAGCGTGCTGAAGCCGGTTAGTTGTTAGGGCCAATGCCTAAGTCAATACCGCTCAATTCCTGTAATTAGTTGTGGCCTAATTTGACCCATTAACTCGAATTCTTGTGTCTTGTGTCTTTATTTCTGAGGGAGGAGGCGGGAACTCGCCGTGCAAAAAGTAGTTCAGTCCTCACTGCTGAGCACAGTGCAACCAGTTTCCAGTCTTCCTTGTCACCTGAAAGGATGCTCTCAAAAGAAAGGACTTTAGGTGCTCATGGCTAAGAAAGGGCTTTAGGTTGTGTTTGGTATGAAAAGCCTGCACTATCCCCTCCTGAACTGCATCATTCAAAGAATAAAGGGGAGATATTTTCAATCTTACCTAGTAGTGAAGAATATTGCAAGCACCGGCGCCTTGAAGCGTGTGACCAGGACAAGTCAAACAGTAGATTCTCTTGGTACCCGAATCCTTTGTAGCAGCAGTTTTTCTAAGTGAAGAAGAAAAAGTTAAGGCATAAGCCTTCTTTCTCCCACTGCCCCGCCTCAAAACCCGGAACTTGCCACGCGATTAGCTGATGGAGTCTTTGTCAATAGAGAGCATTCTAGCACTTGGCACATGGGTTAGAAGGACAATTTTGTAGTCATCTCCACCCACCTTTTAAAAAACGGAGCATTAGCTCAAAGACATCCCCATTGTTAGAGGAGGATAAGATAACTTTGCAGTTTCCTTCACGGGAATGGGGACGGTTTTGTTAAGGAAGCCCTAGAAATCTTGAAGCATTGAGTTCTAAGATTTTTGGCTCACCCACATTCATTATCCTCCATTCTTTCTAGGCTCAGGTTCACGTTTTTCCAATCTGTAGCCGAGCAGGTTTATTTATTTATTATTATTATTATTATTTGCTTTTTTGCCCTGCTGCTTCCCCCATGAAAGCCCACTCTCTAATGCAAGAAAACCCAAATTTCCATTTGTTCTGATTAGCATAAAAGAGCTGGTTTTCCTGGTGAAAGTGATAAGGCAAAAGGGGAAGAAGAAAAAAACACCACTCAGACACAGACCATGAAAGTGTGGACCCAGAAAGAAGTGTGTGGGGAAAGGTATGTGTAAATGAGCCTTTCGTTTAGGTTCAGTTGTTGTTGATTATTTATATACCACCCCTTCAGCTGTTGATCTTAGGGCAGTTCATAACATAAATATACAACATAAAAAAACACAAAATACATGATATGGATTAGAACAAACACAAACCAATACACCCCACAACACATTTCAAAAGGCACCAGATGTTAATTAGCCAAAGGCCTGGTTGAAGAGGAATGTTTTCGCCTGGCACTGAAAGGCGTATAAAGAAAGTGCCAGCCAAACCTCTCTGTTTTAAGAGCTCAGTTTAAAACTAGGGCACCAGTTTGGATCTTCTCAATGGGGAAAGGCATTTTGCAGAGTATATCACTACATTAAGTGCTGTATAGAACTTTATTCTAAATTCCTTTCCAGTTAATTGTGGGAAAAATAACTCACTAAAAGGCACTAGTGTAGAACTAGCCATTGATTCACCAATAGTGAAGGTGGTAGGGCCACATTGCATTGTTTAGATGGTGGTAACATTGCAGTGTTTAGCAGGTGATATTGTGAGGTTTAGCAGCTGATAACATTGCAGTGTTTAGCTGGTGAGTTGTCATGATGTTTAGTTGGTGAGTTATTGCGATGTTGAAAACCAGGTATCGCCTAGCCCTTACACACATTGTGATTCGCGATACATTGCCAGCTCAAATATTATGAAACAATTATCACAATGTGAACTTGAAACCGGTTTTGGACGATATACAGTGGTACCTTGGTTGTCGAACGTAATCTGCTCTGGAAGACCGTTCAACTTCTGAAACGTTCGACAACCGAGGCGCAAAGGGCGGTCGGGAAAGCCAATGGAGAAAAAAGAAAAACACGCATCGGAAGTGTTAAGTTGTGGGTGAACATATCAGATGACACAGCGATTCTCCAAACAGCTCTTGTTTATTTACAGGTCAGAACAGAACTGAACTGAAGGGTTCAGCCAGCCTGCTTATATAGAGCTCCAGTACAACGTAACTTTTAACAACTTTCTGTAACTATCCAATCACTGAACGTCACTTTTAATCCCTTATTTGCATATGTGGACCTGAATTATCTACAGTATCCCCCTGCTGGCCCAGGGTGAGACCTTCAGTACATAACAGGAAGCTGTTTGACTTCCGAGGCACGTTCAGAAATGGAAGCAATTCCTTTTGAGTTTTTGCCGCTCAGGTTCCAAAACATTTGGCTTCTGAGATGCTCGAAAACTGAGGTACGACTGTATTGATATATCGCCCAGCTCATGTACCTAAACGTTCATGAATTGCATCATCTCTGCTGTGGGGTTTTTTAAGGGTGAAAAGTTGTACTTCAAATAAGAGGAAGCTACTTTTTCCTGTTCCACTTCTCGTACACCATGCACGCTCTCCGTTAAAGAGCCAGGAGCTGCCAGATCTTACCTTCTGCCCTGTTCTTATCTCTTTGTTTACATTTGGGCTGGATGAAGGACTCTCATCATCACAAGCACAGCTCTGTTTTAATTCAAAGAATTTTCAGCAGGGTGTTAGTATCCTGGGTCAGGTGATCCTGACATCACACGCGAGATCATTTTGGAGGTGTGGCTTATATTCTATCCAACAATACAGTACTAGAGGTGACACGTCAATGCTTGGAGCAAGAGAGGAAGGGGGAATGCCAAATCCTACTGGGGAGCTGCCCTAGCTCAGTGTCAGAGAATCTGTTTTGTATGCAGAAGGTCCCAGGTTCAAACCCTGGCATCTCCAGGTAAGGCTGGAGGAGACTTCTGGGAAAGACTAGAGGGACAAACCATCCAATTAAGTGCAGGGCAACTTCCTACACTACAGCAAGCAAACAGAACGTCTTGGAAGGAAGCTTGCAGTGCAGAACACTGTAAAACTGGGATGGGTAAGTTAGCCAGTGAGGGATGCGGGTGGCACTGTGGGTTAAACCACAGAGCCTAGGACTTGCTGATCAGAAGGTCAGCCGTTTGAATCGCCGCGGCGGGGTGAGCTCCCCTTCCTCGGTCCCTGCTCCTGCCAACCTAGGAGTTCAAAAGCACTTCAAAGTGCAAGTAGATAAATAGGTACCACTCCAGCAGGAAGGTAAATGGCATTTCCGTGTGCTGCTCTGGTTTGCCAGAAGTGGCTTAGTCATGCTGGCCACATGACCCGGAAGCCAGCTCCCTCAGCCAATAAAGCGAGATGAGCGGTGCAACCCCAGAGTTGGCCATGACTGGACCTAATGGTCAAGGGTCCCTTTATCTTTACCTTTAAGGTAGCCAGCAAACCCCAGATGTTGTCACAATTCTGCTTGGGTTCACTAATTTTGCAATAATAATAATAATAATAATAAATAATAAATACCTGACAAAGAACTCCACACAACAGTCCTTCAAAATGCTTCTGCCTGAGCGAGTCAAGGGCAGCTAAGAAGCAAGACATTGCAAGGATTGATCAGAAGCTATCCAAATTATACAAGAGTTTGTCTTCTTTAGCCAAAATAAAAGCAGTCCACCAATATGCGTACAAAAATGGTGGGATAACCAGCCACATATAACCAACATTCTTAAGTCTAATTAATGCATGAAGGGGTTACCATACCATAGAGTAAGCTGTGCTGTCAGGCTTAGTCATGTCACTTCCCTTACCTTGGGAGGAAATAGGTCAGGCATCCCCAACCTGCGGCCCTCCAGATATTTTGGCCTACAACTCCCATGATCCCTAGCAATCATGACCAGTGGTCAGGGATAATGGGAATTGTAGTCCAAAACATCTGGAGGGCTGAAGGTTGGGGATGCCTGAAATAGGTAATCAAGCCTATTGTTCCCTGTGCAGACTACCTTAGAAGCTCAGCATGTGAAGAGGTCTGAGCTGGTTGCTCCAGCTTAGCTCTCACCAGTCAATCTTGACTTCCTATACCAATAAATTAGGAACTTTGTAAGTAAGTTATGTTTTACTGCCTGTGCAACTTATCTGACTGATGTATGCAAAAGCATATGAATCCGACCTTTGAAGAGTTTGTAAGTAAACCAATTTTTAACTTACCAAACATGTAGTCTTTTCCTATGTTGTGCGGAGAGGGAAATTTTGGAACTCCCTTGGAGAGGCATATTTTAAAGGTCTAACAATCTATATTTCCACACTTTACTTTGCTACATATTTTGTGACTTTAAATCTCTGCCAGGATTCTCTCATCAAAGAGTACTTGCCCCAAAGTTGGACGTTAGTATTCAGAAATTCATATACATATATAGCACCAACAATAACAGCAAGTCCTAAGAAACTGAGGCAAAGCCACAACAGACCTTGGGACCACTTTCACGTAAAAACATAAGGACAGGCAAATGTTGATTTCTGAGCGAGATTCAGAATAGACACCAATAATATGCCTCTATTAACATTATTAATAGAGGAACTCTGCACCAAGTTCTCCTAGGAGGCAGGAGGAAAAGTTGTTTGAAGCACAAAAATACACTTGGACAGTATCTAAAGCGATAGATCAAAAAAACATTGCATCCTCCAAGCAGCAGCATTTGAGGCACAAATTCTCAGATGTGTTCCAGGTCACAGCTGGGTAAGGAGTGTCAGGTCGTTCAGCCTTGTTACTACATTGGGCTCCAATTGGATCCTTCAAATCGCTCCCAAAGCATGGACACTGAATAATTTCTACCCATTAATAAGGACATCTCTTTGCACAAGTAGATGCTCTGAAATTTTGTACTGCTCCGAATTTTGCAATATGGTTCTCGGCTCAAAATGAAAAACAAAACACCAAAATTTGACGGTAAGATTGGTTATTTTAGGAGAAAACCCAGAGTGAAGCGAACACTCCCATTTTTATGCAGGCCAAAGAACACATGCCAGCTGCCCTTAAGTCACGAAAAGAGTAACTTCAAGCGATACTTACTGCTCTGCTCTTTAGCTTTCAGTTCCAGCACCTGGCAAGTGCGTGTTAAGTTTATATTTACACTCCGGAGGTTTGTTTGCTCAGCGATGCTCTCTTCCAGCTCCCTTTGCAAAGACCTTGCTTCCAGCCTGGCAGCGTGAAGGTCATTCTCCTGATCCTTAGCCTGCGGGAGCAACAGCAAGTCAGCAAAGTTTCAAGATCCCTTCTAGACCGCTCAGCAGACCTCACACAAACAAAAGCCGAAATGCATCTGCTAACTCTCTCCGGAAGCAATGAACTCCTGATCTGCCTCTTCATATATATATAGTTTTAACACTCGCAGGTTCTGTTGGTTTTCTCTGAGCAGACGTATGTGTCAAGTCGCTTCTTTCCTGCGTAAGGCGCTTAAAAGCCACCAACCCTTCCTCTCAGCTTAGACTTCCTCTGCATTCAGAATTTTGCAAGTTCCAGCGAACGCACAGGTTCTGCTTTTGCCCAAACACACAGGATGCACTCTACAAGGGCTACCTTGCCAGCAACCGCAAAGCTCAGGCCCTCTAGCACTTCATAGATGAAGATAAAACCCTTGTTCTTATTCCATCACCAAGAGACCTCTTCCCCAACACTGCATGTTGAAGCGTTACCGTTATCGACAAATCAAAACGATCTCAGCAGCTGCATTCTGTGTGAAGCAGGGAAAAGAACACCAGGTTGTGTCCTACCCATGCTCTCCAAGTTCACATGTATGTGCACTGAAGTTGTGATGGTGCTGACCTTTAAAACCCTAAACGGTCTCAGTCCTGTATACCTGAAGGAGCGTCTCTACCCCCATCGTTCAGCCCGGACGCTGAGGTCCAGCGCCGAGGGCCTTCTAGCAGTTCCCTCATTGTGAGAAGTGAGGTTACTGGGAACCAGACAGAGGGCCTTCTCAGTAGTGGCACCTGCCCTGGGGAACACCCTCCCATCAGATGTCAAGGAAATAAGCAGCTATCCTATTTTTAAAAGACATCTGAAGGCAGCCCTGTTTGGGGAAGTTTTTAATATTTAATGCTGTATTGTTTTTAAAGCTTGATTGGGAGCCGCCCAGAGTGGCTGGGGAAACTCAGCCGGATGGGCGGGGTATAAATAATAAATAAATTATTTATTATTATTTATTTATTATTATTTTATTATTATTACCATTATTATTATTATTATTATTATTATTATTATTAACTCCCCCGCCTCACCCCTGGGCCCAAACTTGGCAAGATGTTGGCGATCTTCAATGGGATTCAGATTCACTGGAAGGACTGTAGTTCAGTGATAGGAAAACACCACCTTGCCTGTTCATACGTTCCTGTGATCGGAAGGTCAGAGAAGGTGCTCCCGACACTCAGCCCATGCAGGCGCTGAAGACGTGGGCTGTACATGGGTGTACGGAAATCCTTTACCTTCACCTTTTTACCTTTTAAAGTTTAAACTCAGCACAAGGAGCAGAACTCTGGCTTCTGCTGCCTTTAAGAATAGGGCCATAGCTCAGTTGTAGACCACCTGCTTTGCATGTGGAAGGTCCCAGGTCTATTCCTGGTGTTGTTGTTTAGTCGTTTAGTCATGTCCGACTCTTCGTGACCCCCTGGACCAGAGCACGCCAGGCACTCCTGTCTTCCACTGTCTCCCGCAGTTTGGTCAAACTCATGCTGGTAGCTTCGAGAACACTATCCAACCATCTTGTCCTCTGTTGTCCCCTTCTCCTTGTGCCCTCCATCTTTCCCAACATCAGGGTCTTTTCCAGGGAGTCTTCTCTTCTCATGAGGTGGCCAAAGTATTGGAGCCTCAGCTTCAGGATCTGTCCTTCCAGTGAGCACTCAGAGCTGATTTCCTTCAGAATGGATACATTTGATCTTCTTGCAGTCCATGGGACTCTCAAGAGTCTCCTCTAGCACCATAATTCAAATCATCAATTCTTCGGTGATCAGCCTTCTTTATGGTCCAGCTCTCACTTCCATACATCACTACTGGGAAAACCATGGCTTTAACTATACGGACCTTTGTTGGTACTATTCCTGGTAGGGATGGGGAATAAGACTCCTACCTGGAACCTCGCATAAGACCATGCCAGACAGTGGAGACAATAGTGAGCTAGATAGACCATTGGCCATTCCTATGCTCCCAGAGGCACTCAGGGGGCACTAGAGTCAGCTGCCTTTAAAGAAAAAGGAGAAGGAGGAAGTAGCTCTAGTCCCACCAACACCACAATAAGTACCTCAAAACAGGGGATGCTGAATCATTGCACACACATGCAAAGTAGGATATGGAAATCCAATTGCCACTCTGTAATAGTATTTGTCTGTATAGTAAAAGCTATGGTTTCCCCAGTAGTGATGTGTGGAAGTGAGAGCTGGATGATCAAGAAGGCTGATTGCCGAAGAATGGATGCTTTTGAATTATGGTGCTGGAGGAGACTCTTGAGAGTCCCATAGACTGCAAGAAGATCAAACCTATCCATTCTGAAGGAAGTCAGCCCTGAGTGCTCACTGGAAGGACAGATCCTGAAGCTGAGGCTCCAAGACTTTGGTCACATCATGAGAAGAGAAGACTCCCTGGAAAAGACCCTGATGTTGGGAAAGATCAAGGAGAAGGGGACGACAGAGGACGAGATGGTTGGACAGTGTTCTTGAAGCTACCAGCATGAATTTGACCAAACTGTGGGAGGCAGTGGAAGACAGGAGTGCCTGGTATGCTCTGGTCCATGGGGTCATGAAGAGTTGGACACGACTAAACGACTAAACAACAAACAATAGGATTTGTCTCTTTCGTCTCTGCCTTAGTTTTAGGCCTTCCTTCTCTGAGGCACCAAACAAGACAATGTCTTCCACATCCTGCTCTTGTCCTCCAAAGTTGTCCTTCCTCCATCTTCCTGTATGCAAAGTCTTAAAAGCAAGAGCAGCACAACATGCTGCACTTACCCGCTTGCTGGCATCCTCAAGTTGTTGGGTTAGATCTTGCAGTGCTGATCTCAAGATGCATTCTTCTGACACAATGTCCTCTTTCAGCCGTCTGGCCAACTCCAGTTCATGCTGCCTAAGGGATATAAGGCAAGAGGAGCTTGAGGGCACGCAGAGCATTTTAGAGCAGCACTGCTCAGAAATGTAATTCAAATTCTGCTTGATGGTATATGGCCAGTCCAAACCTAGAAGCATTGTTGGGTACACCTGCCCATCTCCTACACCTGTGCAGGTCCACGTTCTTCTAGCTCCCTTTCTCCTACCAGGCATCTCTTCTCTGTCACCACTTAGAAGTAACTGGGCCCATGGCACACAGGGACTCATTTGTCCCATTCAACAGAGTCGAATCCCTTAGGCACAAACGCCAGATTAGCAAAGAGTTTCAGAATTCAAGGAATTTCCAAAGTGGGGGGGGGGGCGGAAATCAAGCATTAACGTCCCAACAGATCTTGCTTCTCCATTAGGTTTCCGGGGAGCCCTAAATCTAACACAACACAAGACATGTCTCTGTTCCTCCAGCTTCAGCTGAAATTCTCTCTCACACAACTCTCACATACCCAGCCCTGCTTGGCCTATTGTTCTCCATTCTAGGATAATAAAATCATAGAGTAGGAAAGGGCCCTGAGAGTCATCTATTCCAATCCCCAGCAATGCAGGAATCCTGCCTACAGCCATTCTTGGGTGGGCTCCAACCACCAACCTTCTGGTTAACAGCCAGACATGCTGACCCATTGCTCCATGATGTGGCATCCAGCCAGGTGAAGTGAGAAAAAATTGTCTCTGTGGCAACCAGATGCACCAAGCTAGGGGGCTGAGATGTCTTTGGCTCCCTCCATGTTTGTTTGAAGGGAGCCCAGCTCCCTCCATGTTGAGGGGGCCCAGCGCATCACAGCTTTAGCTCCCGGCTCTGCCAGAGCACAATCCTCCTCCAGAGGATGTGATGGCACACACATGTGATGCATGATGTCACACATGAGCAACGTGCACTGGGCCACTTCAATCATGGAGGCAACCTGGTGCCTTGAAGGTGCAGGTGTTGGATACTTAACTGAGCTGCCATGGTCATTAGGTAAAGGTAAAGATACCCCTGACTCTTAGGTCCAGTCGCGGACGACTCTGGGGTTGCGCGCTCATCTCGCTTTATAGGCCGAGGGAGCCAGCGTTTGTCTGCAGAGAGCTTCCTGGTCATGTGGCCAGCATGACCAAGCCACTTCTGGTGAACCAGAGCAGCACACGGAAACGCCGTTTACCTTCCCGCCAGAGTGGTACCTATTTATCTACTTGCACTTGACGTGCTTTTGAACTGCTAGGTGGGCAGGAGCTAGGACAGAACAACGGGAGCTCACCCCGTCGCGGGGATTCGAACTGCTGACCTTCCAATCAGCAAATTCTAGGCTCTGTGGTTTAGACCACAGTGCCACCCGCGTCTCTGCCATGGTCCTTACCTTGACCTATTTAGCAAGCCTCCTCCTACAGATCCTAACCTGACAAATACAGGATCACTGCTTGGGTAGGGACCCAGGGGTATCATTCAGACTGAACCCCGCCCCCAGGGACTCACAGCAACACACACACACACACACACACACACACACACTACTGTGAACAAATCTGTTTTCTCTCAATTTTTCATTTTCCCAGTAGTAAGTTTAGTTTGCCACATTTTTGCAGGCTTGCAATTAAAAACCAGAAACACTCATGTGCAAGTTTCTCAGCATTCTGTTTCTCCTAACGCACACACTTTCCTATGCAATTTTCCCTTATATACACCTCTTCTTGCAAACCATTTCCCCCAGTATAATGCACTCTTCTCTGTACTTTTTGCCGGTACACACGACTTTCCCCTCATGTACGTATATTTTGGTTTAAGAACTGCATTGCAAATCTCAAAGGACGTCTGTGTGTTTCGGTTTGCCTGTTGCTTCAGGAAGTGAAAGTTGCAATCTGAATCAAATTTCTGCCCCATCCCCAACACGCACATACTAAAAACTGAAAGAAGGAGAAGGGGGGGGGGGAAATAACCTGGATGAAAGTGCTTTCTTCAAGTGCAGCTGTTCAGTTCTCATCCTCCTGAGGTTTCCTGCCATCTTTATAAGCTCCTTGTCCAATGAGTCCTTCTGAGCTTCCAAGAGATCAAGGCTCTGAAGCCAAAGAGTTATTTTCTTCGCCAGATCTTGCTTGAGCTCCTGTATTGACATTTTAACAAGAACCCAATACGGAGTGTTCAGAAGAAATCCTTAGCAAGCTATTTGCTATGAATGTGTGCTGGTTTAACCTGAAAAAGCCCCATTCCCATTTAAATTTGGATCAAATAAATACAAAGGAAAATTAACCTGAATGTAGTAATAACTGGGAGAAAGGCAATGGCAAACCTAGACAGCATCTTAAAAAGCAGAGACATCACCTTGCCAACAAAGTTAAAGCCATGGTTTTCCCAGTATAGTTAAAGCCATGGTTTTCCCATTAGTGATGTGTGGAAGTGAGAGCTGGACCATAAAGAAGGCTGATCGCCGAAGAATTGATGCTTTTGAATTATGGTGCTGGAGGAGACTCTTGAGAGTCCCATGGGCTGCAAGAAGATCAAACCTATCCATTCTTAAGGAAATCAGCCCTGAGTGCTCACTGGAAGGACAGATCGTGAAGCTGAGGCTCCAATACTTTGGCCACATCATGAGAAGAGAAGACTCCCTGGAAAAGACCCTGATGTTGGGAAAGATGGAGGGCACAAGGAGAAGGGGACGACAGAGGGCGAGATGGTTGGACAGTGTTCTCGAAGCTACGGAACATGAGTCTGACCAAACTGCGGGAGGCAGTGGAAGACAGGAGTGCCTGGCGTGCTCTGGTCCATGGGGTCATGAAGAGTCGGACACGACTAAACGACTAAACAACAACAAGTAATAACTGCAAAGTAATGCCTTGTTCTGCTTTCTCTTTTGTACTTGCTCACTGGGAATTATTTTGCTGGAATGGTGGGTGGGGAGAGACAGACTGCGGTCCCTATGTTGGTGGATGGGGAAATGAAGTCACCGCATCCCCCCCCCTCAAAAAAGTACAGCATTGCTGCAAAGGTCCTTAAGAAGAGGCTGGCTTGCCTCCTGTTAGCGAAGCCACTTAAATAATTGTTATGTACTGAGTTGAATAGGATCCAAAATGCAGCAGTCTGATTGGTCCTAGAACAATACGATTCAGAATGCAGCAGTCTGATTGGTCCTAGAACAATAGTATCCAGAATGCAGCAGTCTGATTGGTCCACAGGAGCCACCCAATCCAGCTCCAGGTGGAAGTGAATCCGCAACCTGATTGGCTAATTCCGGGATTCTCCTGTAGGCCAATCACGTGGGGCCCATTGTGTAAATAAGGTAGAGTCATACCTCGGGTTGAATGTGCTTCGGGTTGAGCATGTTCGAGTTGCGCTCCGCGGCAACCCAGAAGTAACAGAACGCGTTACTTCCAGGTTTCGCTGCTCGCGCAGATGCTCAAAATGACGTCATGCGCATGCGCGGAAGCGGCAAAACGTGACCCGCGCATGCGCAGACGCGCCGTTGCAGCTTAAGTTGTGTTCAGGATGCGAACAGGGCTCCGGAACGGATCCTGTTCGCATCCCGAGGTACCACTGTATATAAAGCAGACATTCTGGGGGGAAAATTCCATTCCTCCTCACCACTATGAGCTGAATAAAGAGCATGAAATCCACTCTCGACTCTGAGTATATTTCAATAATGCAGAGTCCAGAGAGAGGACAAAATCTTGTTAAGACTTTCCAGTGCTCAAGTGGATGAAAAACGGCACATAATTTGAGGAGAAAGGAATAGAGGTCTGCTCTTTCTTACTTGAGGACCCATACATAGCAGGGAAGCATTCAACCAAATGTACAGATGAAAAACTCTCTCAGAACTACACAGCCAATCAGGGCACATCCTTCTTCAGCTCTGGCTGGGTCCTAGAGTCCTCCCTCCTCCTTCCCAAAGCCTTCTTAGAGCTTTCCCTGCTTTGGGGTGAAGGTGGGAGGGCTCTAGCACCCTGTCAGAGACTCATGCCTCCTTCCCCAAACCCAGCACAGCTTCGGGAAAGCAGCAGAAGGGGGGGGGGAGGTAATTTTTGGCCTTGCACAAGTGCCACAGTACAGTGGTACCTCTGGTTGCAAATGGGATCCATTCCGGAGGCCCGTTTGCAACCTGAAAAGAACGCAACCCACGTCTGCGCGTGCGCGGGTTGCGATTCGTCGCTTCTGCACATGTGCGTGACATCATTCTGCGCATGCACAAGCAGTGAAACCTGGAAGTAACCCTTTCCGGTACTTCTGGGTCGCCACGGGACACAACCTGAAAATGCGCAACTTGAAGCAAACGTAACATGAGGTATGACTGTACCCAGGTCTGCCACTGTCGGAAGTGCCAAGACTCTTCATTCACTTAAATGGAGGGGTAACCCCTTGTGGCCTTCGCCTCCTAGGTGGGTCATAAGGAAAGGGTTAAATGAGTGTGATGTGATTGGCCAGAGAGAAACTGATAGGAGGAGTTAGAGTCGGGAGTTGTGTGGAAGTTAGCTGAGAGTTGGGAGTTGGAGAAGGAAGAGGGAGGATAAGTCTGTGGGTTGGTCAAGTTGGGTTGTGAGAGAGTGAGAGGAACTGTTAGGTGGAGTCAGATAGATAGTTGGGGATAATCAGTTTGGAGTTGTTATGAACGAATAAGACAGTAAAGAAACTAAGTTTAAGAAACTGACAAGAAAAATTAACTGAAACCATAAACTTGTTCATGCTTCTAAAAATAAACTTGATTATTTGTTACTGTTAACAACTGTCTGGACTCCATGTGTACTTGAGGGAAACGGGTTGGTGGCAGTGAAGAAAGCAATCACAGTGGTGGCACAGGGAGCAATAGACCGTCAAACGTCCGGGGACCCTGTCTGATCGCCACACCCCTCCAAAAAAACCCAGCCATAACCTGAAATGGTCAGGTGGGGGAGAGAAATTCACACCTTCTGCCAAGCACCGGGGGGGGGGGGGCAGGGTCCCAGTTGAATTCGGAACAGTAGGCCCCTTTCTGAAAACACAAATCAAGATCAAGAATACAAACGAACTGAGTGTGAATGTTAAAAATGTGAAGGACTGCTTTGTGAAAGAATTTACAAAACCCCAAAGAGGGATATTTTTGTGCCAGTACACATCCCTTCAAGCTCCGCCCAAGGCCTTGTAATTCAGACGGTAGGGAGGTGTCCTAAAGCCCCCTTTCTAGCCATTCAGTAACATTTACCATGAGCTTCTTCTTATGGGCTTCTTGCATATTGGCCTCAAAGCCCTCTGCCTGCAGGATGGCTATTTCCTCCACTTGAGAAAGTTCTTGCTTCTGTAAAGAAAAAGGTCACGTCCCATGAACTTTCACATCTAAATGGTAACATGCTGTTATGTACTGAGTTGAGTAGGATCCAAAATGCAGTAGTCCGATTGGTCCTAGAACAATAGGATTCAGAATGCAGCAGTCTGATTGGTCCTAGAACAATAGAACCCAGAATGCAGCAGTCTGATTGGTCCACAGGAGCCACCCAATCCAGCTCCAGGTGGAAGTGACTCCGCAACCTGATTGGCCTACAGGTGAATCCTAGAATTAGCCAATCATGTGCAGCCCATTGTGCAAATAATGTATATAAAGCAGACATTCTGGGGGAACTTCCATTCCTCCTCACCACTATGAGCTGAATAAAGAGCATGAAATCCACTCTTGACTCCGAGTATATTTCACCTGTGCAGCTCTTTTGGTGTGGAACCTTAGCAACGAGAGGCTATTTGCTTCTCTAAAAGAGTTATATGCAGTGCCTGTGAAGGAACAGGACTGTTTCAAAAGGACTAAGCCGCTAAACCAGTGTTTCTCAACCTGTGGGTCCCCAGATGTTGTTGGACTACAACTCCCATCTTCCCTGACCGCTGGTCATGCTGGCTAGGAATGATGGGAGTTGTAGTCCAACAACACCTGGGGACCCCCAGGTTGAGAAACACTGCGCTAAACAGATAAGCATACATATCGGCAGCTATTATTTCCCTACCTATTCAAAAGCCTATAAGCAAACATATGTGGTGAAGTATCTAGATTTCCTGCCCCACTCTAAATGCTTCTTTCAGCACTAACATACTGGGGATAGCTATGAATCAGCATAAGAAAAAAAGGATTTGCAGGAGGGAGGATGCGAAGAAGCATCTTGCTCAGGTTCTGAGATGAGCAAAAGCTTTGGAATGGTTTTGCAGTCTTCCACTTGCTATTCCACCCACAGTCTTTTTCCATACCAGTTTCTGAACGGTGGCCTTGAATTTTTCTCCCACTCTCTCCGGCCCTTGCAGGAGCAGCAAAACCTCCGCGTCCAGCGATTCATCCAGTGCAGTCCATTCGATTCCAGAGACCTGCATAGCAAAGCAATCAGAAAGGGGCCATTGTTAGGATAGAGTTCCGTTCCACCTTAAAAGGATACAGGCATGACTGTTGTGTGTCACATGCCTGTTTACTTTCAGCACACATCTGCTGGGAGCTTCCGCTTTTGCATTTCTGCTGTTTTGCTGGAGACGAAGGGAAGCAGACATGTTTCTTCCTTTGTTCCTGCTGCTGAATAAAATGCTGTAATATACTGCTTACGCATGGCTCTGTCCGCCTCTTCTGCTGTGGGAAGATTTATTCACTCTGCTCATAGAGCGTGCACGGGTCTCTAAATGTATCTGAGGCCCATGTGGCTGATTGATGCTGTTCCAAGGGAGACCGGTGATCGTTCGGCTGCCGGCCAGTGGCTGGAGGCAGCTGGGGGCCTGCCTGATGCCCCCGTCTCCCTGCCAGTATCCCAACAGCCATATGATACAAGCTCAACCATCTGCCAAGTCTCAACACTGGTCAGAAGCTACCCTGGGCATAAACCTTTGCTTCCAAGTTGCGCTGGGAAAGTGCATCCGTTTGGCTGGATGTCATTTATTTACACCAGTGTCCCTGGCACTTTGCAGAGTATGTGAAGGCCCCGAAAAGCTTCCAATCTCAAACCCAGCACTGGGGGGGGGGCAGTGAAGGGAGAGGGAGCAGGGGAGTTAGATGCAGTTGTATTAGCTGCATGTGCAACTAAATGCTTATTTAGAAAGGTGCACTCATTATCCAAAGGCACAGAAATGTGCCAGAGATCTGTGCAAAAGTGTGACAGTCTGGAACACAGCAAGGTAGCGGTCTCTGTCTCACTTCCCAGTCACATCAGGGATGTCCAACTCCCAAGTGACTGCGATCTACTCCTGGATTAAAAAACTAGCAGCAATCTACCCATTTTGGGGGGAGGGGGGAACCTAAATTGTTGAGCTTTTGTGGGGGGCAAGCCAAAGTTGTTAAGCTTTTTTCCAGGGGACAAGCCACAGTTGTTTACCTTTTTGGGGGGCAGACTGAAAATTCTTCTGCCTTTTTTTTGGGGGGGGGTGCATTGATTGAAAAAGAAATAACCCCACCAGCGGAAACTCCGTCTTCTGTTCTTGAAATACAGGATACAGTGGTGCCTCGCAAGACGAAAAGAATCCGTTCCGCAATTCTCTTCGTCTAGCGGTTTTTTCGTCTTGCAAAGCAACCCTATTAGCGGCTAAGCGGATTAGCACTATTAGCAGTTTAGCGGCTTAGCGGCTATTAAAGGCTTAGCGGCTTAGCTGCTAAAAGGCTATTAGCGGCTTAGCGGCTTAGAAAAAGGGGGGGAAGCAGAAAAAATATCACAAGACTAGCAAGACCATAGGGTCTTGTGAAGCAAGCCCATAGGGAAATTCGTCTTGCGAAGCAACTCAAAAATGGAAAACCCTTTCTTCTAGCGGGTTTTCCGTCTTGCGAGGCATTCGTCTTGCGGGGCACCACTGTACAGGAAGGAGAGAGGGGGCAGGGCCAGATGCCCCTTTTCCCCAGCGGAGGAAAATGAGCCTGCGATTGACTTATATCAGCTGGGGGTCGACCTGTCGATCGCGGTCGACCAGTTGGACACCCCTGCATTAGAGGAACTGGCTCTGGGGAACCAAGGGGGAGAAGCAAATAAAATAAAATTAAAAACTCCCACCTCCGATTGCTCTTGGGCAAGCTCCAGTTCGCAGTGCAAAGAATTGGTCCCTTCAAGGATGCTGCTGTTGAATTTGTATATCAAGGGGAAGTTGAAGCCATTCCTAGCAGAAGGAGAGTCAAAGAATTAAATCTGCGAAGCTCCAAGAGCGTCTCTCATTATAAGGGCGCTGAATCTCGCCCCCTTGGAGTGCAAAAATACTCACGAAATCAACTCCTGTTGCATTTGCTGGATGTTGTTCACCAGTTTGTTCTTCTCCACCCGCAGGGTCTACAGAAAAACACAAAGCTCTCTCAAGACACAACCTTCAAGCAACACCCCCCCCAATAAAGGACTCCTCTTCTGTCTCCAGCTCCCAGACAAATTATGGCAATTGTACCTCTATTACGGAGGTGTATTCCTTGAGGGTAGACTTCAGCTCCTGAATATCCAGGTCCTTCTGCACAGGTGGAAGTGTTTGTATTAGAAGTATAGGACCAGAGAGAGAGAAAGAAAAAGAGAGAACGAGAGAACGAGAGAGAGAGAGGCTAAAGGCATTGAGACAATTTCTGAAGCCGACTCTATACAAAAGAAAGCATTCCAAAGAGATTGACCTAGTTAAAAGAAAATTGTCATGGCCATGAAAAATGAGGGACTGATCTTTTTAATAAGGCAGTGATAGCCGGAAAATGCTTGCTTAAAGGAGCATCAACAGCTTTTGATGGCTGATGGGTACTAGCTTTTGAACACACATTGTCTCTGCAAGGATATTTAGCCATTTGGATGCATCTGGGACCTGGATTAGAAGTCTGGCTTTTCCATCTGGCTAGGAAAGAAGCGCTTTGGAAAACTGCCGCTTTACAAGCCAGCAATGCATCCAACGATCTCCCATGGTCAGTTTGTACATTGGAAACAAATACGGGATTGCAGGAGGAAAGAGATTTGGCTCACATTTTAATGCAAGCCGGCCTAATCTGCACTTCCTCAAACAATACGTGGACCAAAACATCTACCTGCCAGCAAATTCACACGTCTTCAATTTTTGCGATACAGTTTTTTTTAAAAAAATAATATTTATTAGAGTTTCGAATAATACAAAAAAGAAAAAGAAAAAAGAAAAAAGAAAAACAAACAAACATTCATTGCATTTCACATTTTCAATACCTTCTTTCCAGAACCTCCCCTCACCTCCCCTTCTTGTATTCCATGTCCAAATGTTTATCCAACAAGTTCTTATCCCAAAATTTTTAACCTTAATTTGTTATTACAATTAATTCAATTTATATATCAGCTTTTAACTTATATACATCTGTCAGGGGCTCAGGAGCAGAGGCACAGGAAAGGGAGGAAATAGAGAGCGAGGGGGAGGAATCCGAAGGAAATGTTAGCGATGACAGCGGCCCGAGGTCTCTGAGTCTTTCCAGCGAATCGGAAGATTCACAGAAAGGGGCTCCCATGGTCAGAGCAAGGGGGGTGCCTAGGGGGACACCCCAGGAAGAAGGGGCCAGAGGGGACTCAGAGAGCAGCAGTTGGAAATCAGGACCAGCTTCCCCACCAGAGCGCAGTAGGGGGGAGGAGTCCCAGGTATCGGGATCAGGCGGCTCACCGCCAGCGGGAGGACATGAGTCAGGATTGGCCACGCCTCCATCGGGGAGCGAGGAAATGGTCAAGAGGAAGGTTGAAGGCTGGGCGCGCGCGCCAAGTTCAAATGTACAGGAGGGCGGCGCAGTTGGTAGCCCGGATAGGGAGCCAGGTCCTAAAGCCCGCCGAAAGGAGGGACAGGAGTCAGGGGGGTCAGCTTCAGCGTCAGAAGAGTCCAGAAAGGAGGAGACCCCGGGGGGCAGAAGGACCCAGAGGAGAAAGGAGAGACGGAAGAGGTGGAGTAAGGTTAGAGTCTTAAACTGGTGTACAGGGGGTGGAGACTCAGACGGAGCTTCGCCGGTCTAAGGACTCAGACGTAGCGCTGCGCACCACGGATGTCAAACCAACAATGAACCACAATAAAGACTTTTGTTTATAAAGAGCAACTGGCGTTGGTCCTTTGTGAGCTGGGACCTGAGGCAGCCGCTGACAGTAAGCTCCGTCTCACGTTTTTCACCAAAAACCTCGCAACGTGAGTAGGCGCAGCGAGGGGCGAAGATTGGTGCTTCGCAAGCTCACAAAAGTCAGACAAGATGACTACCGAACAGCAAATAACAGCCCTGCAAAATGCAGTGACACAACTCAACGCCGAGATACTCACATCCAGGAAGAGGGAAGACGAAGCGGCTGCTGCCTGCAGGGATCTCCAAGCCAGGTTGGAAGTGCTTACTAAGCAGGGGCAACCGGGACCCAAATCAGAGGGGATTGGGCTGGGGAAGAGAGGAGGCAGCCTTGTATCTCATTTCGATGGGAATTTACAGCAGTACCCCAACTTCCGAGCAGACGTGCTGTTTGCGCTGCAACTGCTGGATAAAGACTTTAGAGATGAGCAAGAGAAGGTGGGGTTTATCTTATCTCATTTGCATGGAGAAGCTAAAGCGTGGCTGCGCAATCTGTGGAGAGATAAGGATCCGGCGCTCCGAAGTGCGGATGCCTTCATTAAAGCGATGGATGCGTGTTTTTTATCAAATATAGACATTGATATCGCCAGAAAAGACATACATGGGCTGAAACAAGGGAGAGCCACTGTCAGGCAGTATCATTCCCGCTTTTTTGCATTGGTCAATGCGCTGGGATGGGAGAAAGATTCAGCTGCAGTCAGAGACCTTTTCTGGGAAGGGTTGAATGGAGCTGTGAAAGACAAAATTGCAAGGGGGGAGAGACCCCAGAGCACTCAGGAAGTTGTTCAGAGGGCGCTGACGATTGGGGTGCGCCTGGAAGAACGTCCATGGAGCAAAGAAGAAGGGCGTTGGGGACGCACGCCAGCGAGAGCGCTTTCCCTCTTTCCCAGGGATGCAGCGCGTGCGCAATCCATGCCTCCGCTGGGAGGGGGAGAGGAACCGATGGAGATTGGAGGCGCCAGGGCTCAGTCAGCAACCAGGGCCCTAACACCGGGAGCAGTCAAAGCGAAGCCTCCTAGAGGGAACAGGAAGTGCTACATCTGCGACAGTGCTCAGCACATGGCGAAAGAGTGTCCCCAGAGGCTCCACAAGCACACTGCAGCCTCCGCAACAGTAACAGAAGCAATTCAGCAGAGAGAACCACAGCAGGGAAATGACAGAGTCTGGCTGGAGGCAGAGGCACTGGGGCCCAGCCAGACGAGTCAGTGAAGCAGCCCCCAGAAATTTTGCAGCCCATAGACCCTCTCCCGCCCAAACCAATAGTGCAGCTCACCGCATCGCTCCAGCTACCCAATGGACTCACAATGGAAGTGCCAATTACCATTGACTCTGGTAGTAACGCAGACTTTATAGGACTGGATTTCATTAAGCAACACAGCATAGCGCTACTGCCAGCCACGCTGCCCCTGAAGGTTGTCACGGTGGATGACAGGGAATTGCTGGGGGGGCAGGTGGTGAAGCAAACGCCGCCGATGGTGATGCAAATTGGAAATCACCGGGAAGTCATCAGCTTCAATGTCACCCAACTGTCGGACACGCCTGTAGTATTGGGCATGAGTTGGCTGCACAGGCACAGCCCAGCATTGGCTTGGTACCAGCGCCAACTGACTTTCGGCTCCTCCTACTGTGCAGAACACTGCATTCTGCCTAGCCCGGAAGGGGAAGAGGATGACCCACAGCTACAATTAGGCACGCTGCAAGCAGTGCCCCACAAGTACGCAGCGTTTTTAGAGGTTTTCTGCGAGAAGGAAGCGGACAAGCTACCTCCCCACAGGTCCTAAGACTGCAAGATTGACCTCCTGCCGGGGGTGACGCTGCCGACCGGGAAACTGTATTCCATGTCTGAAGACGAACTGCAGGAACTCAGGGAGTTCATAGATCACAACTTGAAGCGCGGTTTCATCCGGGAGTCCAAGGCAGTGGGGGGCAGTCCCGTATTCTTTGTGAAGAAAAAAGACACGCCCCAAAAAAGGCTTGTGGTGGACTATCGAATTTTGAACTCGAAAACCAAGCCTTCCCCATGCCCAAAATCAACGACCTGCTCGTGACGGTGAGAAAAGGACGCGTTTTCACCAAGTTGGATCTGCGAGGGGCGTACAACCTTATTCGCATACGGGAGGGCGACGAGTGGAAGACGGCCATGTTCACGCCCCTGGGCACCTATGAATACAGAGTTATGCCGTTTGGATTACAAAATGGCTCCCACTGTTTTCAAGCCTTCATGCATCACGTGTTAGCGGGACTCCTCTACAAGAAGTGCGTCTGCTTCCTGGACGACATCCTGATATTTTCAGAATCGCAGGAGGCTCACGAGAGAGACGTCAAGGAAGTTCTGCAGAGACTACAGGAGCACAGACTGTACGCCAAACTGGAGAAGTGCCAGTTCGACATGACGGAGGTGGATTTCCTGGGCTACAAATTGTCGGACAAGGGGCTCGCCATGGACAGCGCCAAGGTTCGCTCAGTGTTGGACTGGAAGAGCCCGCGCAATCGGAAGGAGGTCCAGCGGTTTGTCGGTTTTGCAAACTTTTATCGCAAGTTCATCAAGGGGTTCGCTATGCAGACGGCGGCCATTACCGACACGCTCAGCTCCAAGAAGAAGAAATTCATCTGGACGGAGCAGGCGGAGCAGTCCTTTCAGAAACTCAAGCGTCTCTTCTCGTCCGAAGAGCAGCTGCTGCATGTGAATCCCAGCAGACCGATGAGGGTTGAAACGGACGCCTCAGACAGGGCCGTGGGAGCAGTCCTGTTGCAGCAAGACCCGCATGGGGACTGGAGGCCATGCGCCTTCTACTCCAGGAAGCTCAGCAAGTCGGAGCAGAACTACACCATCTGGGACAGGGAGTTGCTAGCCATTCATGCAGCATTCAAGGCGTGGCGGCACTTCCTTATCGGAGCCAAACACACAGTGCAGGTCCGCACAGACCATAAGAACCTGGAGTACTGGCGCACGGCAAGGTACCTGAACCAGAGGCACATACGCTGGGCGGAGTTCTTTGCCGACTTCGACTTCAGGATAGAGTACATCCCAGGCGACAACAACGTCATGGCGGATGCACTGTCCAGGAAGCCGCAATACCTCGAGGAGGCGGCACCAGCGGCGGCCAAGCACATTTTCGCACCGAAAGCGTGGGCGTGCGCTTCGGCAACCGTGGACCTGGATGCTGTACGTCGCGCGCTGCAGGAGGACTCCTTCGCACAAGCCAAGATGGAGGAGGTGCACAGGGGCACGGCGAAGGACGACGAGTTCCAGATACGCGACGGATTGCTCATCCGCAAAGGGGCCCTCTACGTACTGGGAGACGACCTCCGCGCGAAGGTACTGCAGCAGTTGCACGATGCACCCACCGCCGGGCACTTTGGCAAAGAGAAGACTGTAGAATTAGTAGCCAGAGACTTTTGGTGGCCCAAGATGCGG